GGAGTTTTTTCCGTGACGGGCGGCGCTGTTGGTCGGGACGCTGTGCGCATGCTGCGGCCTGTTCATGGAAGTGTGGCGTTCACGTGCATCGTTGGGTTCGCGATTGTACGCTCAACTAGCCGGTCTTGCCAATGCGTTGTAGGTGTCTTGCTCGGGATCTGACATCATAACGTGGATGCACGACGGGCGACGCAGGAGCCGGGGCATTTGTAATGACCACACTTTCCTTAAGGGGGGGGGGGGGGGGGAGTATCGGCAAGGGGCCTTGGACTGACCGAACCGACGATGCTCTCTGGCGGGTCAACGCTGCGCGGCGCGGCACGACCAACACGCGACCACGGCCGATTGGCGCGGCGTGCAGGCGCAAGGGCTCAATCATGTCATCACCAGCTACGACAAGCTAGCGACGTCGAGCCACACTCTCTACCTGTACATGCTGCCCGAGGAGCGGAGAGTGGCTGGCTTGCTCAAGGTCGGCCACAAGCGGCTGTTCATCATGGACGGTATCCGTGGGACCGTGGAGATGGAGCCACTTTGTGCGCTCGATTTTTATGTCCACGAGTCGATGCAGCGACGTGGTATCGGTCTCGCGCTGTTCGAGACCATGCTCAGCGACTGCAGAGCAGTGCCGGCGCGGATGGGTTACGACCGCCCGTCTGACAAGTTCTTGTCGTTCCTGGCCAAGCATTACGGCCTGCGCTCGTACACGCCGCAGAGCAACAACTTTGTGGTCTTCCACGACTACTTTGACCCACCACGGACAGTAGCTGTGGCTAGTGCTGCCAACGCAGGCCCCTCCACCGGCTTGTACTCGGGTGAGCACGCCCCGTCGTCGCTCACGAGCTCCCACAGCACCGTGCTCCCAACAGCTTCGTACCAGCTGTACGGCGGCTCGGTGCCGCCTCCGTCGACCACCCCGTCGGCGTCAGCGTACACGCCGCCGGCGTCGCCGCCGACGCCGCCACGGGCATCGACGGCCTGTGACGACCAAGAGTACGGGTACGCCGGTCATGCCTCGACGCCGACCGCGACAACGCCATACACGGGCGAATATCACACTCCGTCGGCGTCAGCGGCCGACGGTCTGCACACACCTGCTGACGTATACTACACGCCATCGGCACGCACCCCGCGCCTGCGCCGTCATCGTCAGCCCGCGCCGCCTCGTATCGCTCGCAGATGATGTCATCGGCCGGCGTCGCCGCTGCGCTCTCGCCAGCGCTACCGGTGCAGTCATCAGCCCGCCGCCGCAACTCGCGCTACCGCCGCCGCTGAGGTCGGCAAGCGCGCGAGTCGACGTCGAATGCATTAGACGTTGTCGAATGAATCCTTTCCACCGCCCCCAGTCGCGGCAGCTTCGGCGAGACACACCCAGCGTCGCTCATCGGCGTCTTTCGCAGGCTGAGCACGCTGGTCGCGCCCCTGCGCGAGCCTACGCCGCGTCGTGGTGGCGTGCTTGGTCCCGCATTCCCGCTCGCCCCCAGGACAGCCGGGCGCGCGCGGGGACGCGAGTGCAACGGTAGCAGCGGACGCGGCGGTCTCGACTGCAGCCAAGCTGAACTTGCGACCGCTCGAGACGCCGGCGGCGACGCCGAACGAGACGCCGGCGGCGACGCCGACCGCTGGGGCCAACTCCATCGCGCCGAGACAACTGCTGAGAGCGAGTCTCCTGCAAAGACAGCCTTCAACTTCCGGACGTCCTCGCTCTCGATCTGCATCCAGCCATAACCACCACTGTCCATCATGTCCGTCATGTCCGTCATGTCCGTCATGTCCGCCTAAGTTGGCTCAGCCGCCGAGCTCCTGCCTCACCTGAGCCGAGCGGAAGAGGAAGGAGGTAGAGCTGGTGTTCGCTCAACAGATCAACCGAGTCTGTGAGCGAGAGTGAGCGAGAGAGTGAGTGAGCGAGAGAGTGAGTGAGCGAGAGAGTGAGTGAGCGAGAGAGTGAGTGAGCGAGAGAGTGAGTGAGTCGAGTCTGGTTCTTGGGTCTGTCTTGGCATTCTCGGTCCGCCTGCAGTTGGCTGGCCATTGAGCAATGGGGGGGGGGGCACACTCGATGCGTGGTCCTCTCCATCTCCGCAGACATCGTCCCCAACACCAAAAGGCTCGACAGCTGGATGGACTGGATATGTGTGCGCGTGGTGGTGATGGACGTGGTTGAGGCAATTAGATGGCGCCGTCAGATGCCGATGCAGACGTATCCTCGAGGGGAATTGCCTTCTCGGCAAGGACTGGATGACGCCACTGTGGGGACATTCTTCCGGAGGGCGAAGGAGGAGAGGCAGGGGAGAACGGGAGAAGGGGGTGAGACACTCCTCTGCAGCAACGAGACGTACCCACAGACAGACACTCTTCCTCAACGGGATATCCTCAGAGTCCGACATGGACATGCCATGGCGCGAGTCAGACGACGGCTTGGCCGACATGGAGACCGTGCCGGTGGTGAGCTCGGTCAATGTGGCGGAGACCATGTCGGGGAAGGCCGTACGGGAGCTGGGCACAGCCATGCGGAGGAAGCGCAAGGCTTGGGGAGATGCCGATGGTGCCCGCCCGTCAAAGAGCAAGATCCCTGTCCGGCCAGTGCTCGCTGATGACTTGGCAAGCGACGATGACGACGCCGACAATGATGACGATGGTGACGGCCAAGATGATGGTGGTGGCGGCGGGCAACTCGCCCTTGATCCGGCCGTTTTGGCACTGCAAGCGCTGGACGGATGGTTGGCAGAGGGAGGCGCGGACGATTGTGATGCGTGCGCGATGCCGGTGCAGGTGATGGTCACCGGCCGGCGCCGGGTGGCGCTCACGGTCTCAGCGGCGCATCTGGATCTCCAGCTCGCGCGGACTCTGCGGAGAGCGGGGCGGGTGGTCCGTGGCCTCAGCATCCGCGGTTGCGAGCACGTCTCGGACTCGGCCATCCACCGGACTATCCCAGAGTTGCCGAACCTGGTCGAGCTCTCGATGTCGGGCGCGTCGCGCGTTGGCTTCTCGTCGATGCGGCACTTTGCACGCAGGGCGCGGTCTCTTCGCATTGTCGACGTGACGCGCACAAGGCTGGAGGCACAAGGCGTAACGGTCTATCTAAAGCGTGTGTATGCGCCCGCGAGCGTCTCGGTCATTGCCTCGCCGTCGCAAGAGTCGTCCAGCTGATTGGAAGGCCAAGGAGCAACGGTTTATGTGGAGACGCGACCGCGCTGGCGGAGCCTCAGTCGTCGTCAGACGTCGAGGTGTAGTACGAGCTCGATGTGGTGGTGATGGAGATGTCGTCATCGTCATCGTCGTCGTCGTCGTCGGTGGCGGCGGTGTGGCCGTCGGCGCTCGGATCGAGGGCCGCCGAGCTCACGCCTTCAGAGGTCGAGCCGCCATCGCGGGTGTCCGTCACAGGCCCGCACGAGGTGGCGTCGTCAGAGCGCTTGTTTGCCGACGAGGTGCGCGGCTTGGACGACCCGTCGTCGTCGGCGTCAGCGTCGTGCGTGTCGTCGATAGTGATAAAGTCGTCGGCGGGCCCGCCGGTGCCGGAGACGGCCATGGAAGCCATGCCGGCGCCGAGGTACTCGCCATCGGTGGCGGTGTCTGTGACGGTGGCGAGCGAGAGGGCAAGGTGAGTGGGATGGTTCGGGTCAAAGGCGTCGTCGTCGCCGGTCGCGCCCTTGCCATACAGCCTGTTGGTGTCAAACGGCGAGAGGTAGAGCGGAAAGTTTCCGCGGGCAATGACCTTGCCCGCAGCGTCGAGGCGGACGACCGAGTCGGTGGCCTCGTCGATGGTAAAGCCCGCCGGAAAGTGGACGTCTGTCGAGTGAGCAAAGTAGTCGTCGGGCACGCCAGTGTTGGCCTCGATAAACTCAAAGAAGCGGCGGGCGTACTGGTCGGGCGGGACGGCGGAGATGGTGTCCTTGTCAAAGCGGAGCGACTTGTAGCGGTTCTCGAGCTTTTTCTTGGCGTTGTACTTTTGCAGAAAGTCGATGATGCCCAAAAAGTAGACCTCGTTGAGCGGCTCGTTCTCTGTTCCGGTCGAGGCAAAGCCGCCCTGGTCAGCAGCAAAGAGCGAGACCTTGATGGACGAGGCGACGAGGTGGGTGGTCGGCTCGCCGGCCTGGGCCAGCGGCGTCAGTGCCACGGGCCGCTTGACAAGCGCCTGCTTAGCCTGCCTCCGGTACTTTTTGCGAAGGTTGGCGTTGACAATGTCGTCGCGCGAGGCGAGCTCGGGCGCGATTGGCTTGACCACCGAGAGATTGGTGGCGCGGAGAAACTGCGAGTTGGAGATGTTGAGGTCGTGGACGCCGACCAGCAGCGAATAGTCCATCACGCCGATTGAGGTCAGGTACTCGACGTCGCGGCGGACCTGATCCAGGAATGCCGCCCGCTTATGCGGGCCGAGGAGGAGCGAGGCCTTGCGCGAGAGAAAGTCGAGGTCCTTGAGCGTCGACGACTCCTTGTCAACCTTGGCGGCGCCGACGGTCCGGCCCCATGTTGAGCCCTTGAGGTCGTACTTGCGGTGGATGTCGAGGTCGGGCGGGAAGACGTTTTCCATAATGACAAAGTACGTCTTTTTGCCCTTGTGCGGCTTGACCCGGTGGAGACCGTAGAACTTGGAGAGCAGCGTGTTGGGGTTCTCCTTGAGGTACAGATAGTACTCGTACAGAATTGACCGAAGGAGCTTGGCTTCCGTGAGCGTGATGGTCTTGATAACAAACCGGAGGTCGTTGGAAAAGTACAGGTATGCACCCGACTTGCCCGGCGACGACAGCTCGGTGAGGACGTAGTCGTCGGTGAGCGACATGAGGTACACATCCTCGTCAAGAAAGAGCGACCGGATGGCGCGAAAGGTGACCGGAGCGTAGTCCTGGAACTTAAAGTCCGAGTGCTTGTGCGCCGGCGTCCGCTCGGTCCCGTCGTGAAGAAAGTTCCACCGATGGACGAGCTTGGACGACGCCGCCGTCGGCTCTTCCACCACACCGCCGTTGCGGACAACCACCGTAGCAGCTCGCGAGACAACCGTGCGGATGCCGAGAATCATGATGTACACCAGCTCGTGCGACGAGCCGTCGACTCGGGTCCCAACGTTGAGCTTGGGCTCGGACGCCGACTCGCCACGCCCGCGCCGCGCCATGCTCACGCTTGTCGACGTGGTGCACATCGACGACGTAGTCGCCTCGGACCGCCCATCTGACTCTTCGCCGGCGTCCGAGGTGGAGACCGAGTCAGCCGATGAGCTGCACGAGGTGTTTGACGAGCCAGATCCGGACGAGTTGACACCAGCGCTAGCACCTGCGCCGCCACCAGCAACAGCGCCAGCGCCTGTGCCCGAGCCCGAGCCCAACGTTGCGTGATTCGATGGCGTCGCATCGGAAGCATGCGCAGCAACAGGGGGAGTTGCGGGCGGAAACTCGTCGTCAAAGACCCCGATGGAGTGGGAGAACCGCGGGTGGGCGTGCGGCGAGGGCTGGTCGCCAGTATGTCTGCGGACATACGAGGTCTGCAGCGGAAGACCGAGCTGGTCATGGCCTACACTGCCCCCTGCAGCAGGAGGAGCAGCAGGAGCAGCAGCAACAGCGCCGCCAGAACCACCACCAGCAGCAGGAGCAGGAGCAGGAGCAGCAGGAGCTGGCGGGGTGCTATCTGCCACGCCAGGACCTGCAGTGCCAGCAGCCGGCGTGCCTGCAGCCTGGCCCTGGCTCCTGCCACGGACTCGCTTGTCGCCGCTGTCAGGCCCGTTCTCGGCACTTGCCATGGAGGTAAGGGAGGGGAGGGGGGTGGGGTAGGGTGGGGGGAAGGGGAGGAGGTTAGTGGGTGCAGTGGTGGCGCTGGAAGTGGCGCTGGTGGTGGCGGTGTGCGGTGGACGGTCGGCAGGTCAGTGCTGCTGGGAGTCTGGCGAGTTCGGAAGGCTCGCCAGTGAACCAACGCTCACCTTGATTGGTATTGGTTCGGTCACACGGTCACACAGCCACAGCCACAGTCAGCGACACACCTCACGCCCTTCTCCCGACCACAGCAGACACACCAAGCTCTTCTCTCAACCCTTCACAGACAAGCATGGCCTCCCTTCCTGAGATTGCCTGCGATCCTTCCGCCCCCTTCTTTGGCTCCATGGGAGCTGCTGCCGCCATTTCGCTCGGCTGTACGTGTGTAGAGGGGGAGCGTTGGTGAGGGGGGGTCCACTAGGCGTGTGACTTGCGTTGCCCTGACGAAGGCCGGGCGGCTTATGGTAGCAGATTTTTTGAAGCCAGTCCAGGGTGCGGGGGTGGGGGGAAATAGAGGAGGAGGAAGAGGAGGAGGAGCAAGAGAGGGTGGGAGGATAGAGAGGGTGGGGGTGGAAAGGTGGGAGAGGGTGAGGGGGGGGTTACTCACGGGCTGTGTGGTGTGGTGGGTGTAGGCCTCGGCGCTGCCTACGGCACCGCCAAGTCGTCGATCGGGATCTCGGCTGTTGGTGTGCTCAAGCCCGAGCTGATCATGCGGTCGATCATTCCGGTGGTCATGGCCGGTATTGTCGGTATTTACGGCCTCATTGTCTCGATCATCATCTCGACCTCGATGAAGCCGGCGACGTACCCGGACGCGTCGGGCTACATTGACCTTGGCGCCGGCCTCGCTGTCGGCCTTGCCGGCCTCGCCTCGGGCATGTGCATCGGCATCGTCGGTGACTCGGGCGTCCGCGCTTTTGCCCAGCAGCCGCGCGTCTACGTCACCCTCATCCTCATCCTCATTTTCGCTGAGGCGCTCGGCCTTTACGGCCTCATTGTCGCCATTGTCATGGGCGGCCAGAAGCCGCAGACTGGCTCGTTCAAGTGCGTCACCTCAAACTGATAAAGCCACACAAGCCTAGCCTCAGCCTTGCTCTGGCTACCGGAACGCGTCCTTGGCCGCGCGGAGTAGCGCGAGGATGGCTGCGCGGCGCTGGCCGCGCGACGCACCATGGCCTTGCGCGCGAGCCACACCCGCAAGCTGTGCTACCCTCGGCGACGACTGGCGGGCAGCCCAGGCGATGACGCTCTGCGCCACAGCTTCGTCGTCGGTGCGGAGAAAGACATTGTGCTCGCGCTCGGCGCCAATACTGGTCGGCACAGCCGGGTGGCCGACGGCGCGGGCGGCCTGAGCCGCGGCGAGCGATGTGACCACCGCCTCTGACGACGGCAGAATGCTCAACCCAAATCGCAGATTGGAGACCGTGTACTCGTGGCCGGGAAAGACGAGGGCGTCGCGCGGCAGGCTCGCCAACGCGTCGAGCGAGGTCAGCATCACCGCGGCCGAGCCCTCGAAGAAGTGACCGACGCCACCAGCAAACAGCACATCACCGGTAAAGACGGCACTGGGTGCACTGTCACCTGCCGTCGGTACGATGTGGTAGGCCACGTGGCCGGTAGTGTGGCACGGGACCGAGATGACGTCGACGGTAAAGCCGGGAGTGAGGGCAATGCGCTGGCCGGGCACGGCGCGATGGGTGCGGCCGACGGCTGGCTCGCCGGCGTAGACCGGAGGAGCGGCGGGGGCAAGCGCAGCGACAACGTCTGCGTTGCCGCCGGCATGGTCCCAGTGATGGTGGGTGGTAAGGATGCCGGCGCAGGCAAGGCCGAGTTCGTCAAGGATGCGGGCGGCGTAGCGGCCGTGGGCGGGGTCGACAAGAACGCCCGCCCCGCAGCCACGTCGACGACCACGTAGCAGTAGTTGTCGTTAAGAACAGGCACAATCTCGACTCGCACACCCTTGCCCAGCACCACCGCAGCCCGCTCTGCACACGGTGCCCGTGGTGCCTCGGTCGCCAGCTCAGGATGGGTGTAGCGGAAGAGCCACAGGCCGAGCGGGTTCGAGGTGTACAGCCAGTAGCCGATGGGGAAGAGAATGGCCATCGGGCCCTTGATCACACACAGCACCGCAGTGCTCGCTGCCACCATCATCGCCGCTATCCATCCCCACCACATGACGCACGAGGGGTACCGGCGACAAGTGGCCCAGGGCGACGGCGGAGACTACCCACCGACAGACACAGCTCTTCAATGACATGCTAGACAGCGGTTGGGGAAAGGCGAGCTGCGAGCCGTCGATCGAGCCACCAGGAGTAACGGGGACCGAGTCTGGCGGCACCACCATGACAGCACCGCCCGAGCCGTCGACAACAACGACGTCATCGGTGGCGAGCCGCGCCATGGCATCGGGAATGCACACAACTGGAAGCCCCATCTCGCGAGCGACGATGGCGGTGTGCGAAAGGAGGCCACCGACCTCGACCACCACGCCGGCTAGCCGCGAAAAGAGCGGCGTCCATCCCGCTGTCGTCCGTGCAGTGACCAAGATGGCACCGTGCGGCAGAGCTTGTGCCGCGTCCAGGTCGCGGGCGACAAAGGCCCGGCCGGACGCGCGCCCGCCGGCAAGCCCGCGCCCAGAGATAAGGCCCGCGCCGCCGGCATGCGGCCCGTCTGCCGCGCTTGCGCCACCGGCGCTGCTCTGGCCGAGCATGTCGGTATTGGGCATGAGCCACGACGGTCGCGGAACTCGCTGGAACATCTTTGCGCTCGTCACATGCGCCTGCGCGTTGCCGACAAGGGCGTCCCAGACCGGCGGCGGCGCAGAGTCGTGGACGCTCACCATCTTAGCCAGGAGCGAGGCAGGAAGCTCAAAGACATCGTCAGCAGTTTCCAGGAGCCCGGCATTGACCCAGAGCGCGCCGAGCGCGCGCGCAGCCTTGAACACCGCATACCCGACCTCGGACGTCGCAACGTGGATCTCTTCCTTGAGCCGGACGTAGACAGCAAGCGCGCTCGCGAGTGAGTTGTCGCCAAAAACGGGCGTCGGCTCCGGCTTTGGTGCCGCCGCCGGCGGCTCGTCGGTCAACATCGACGCCAGCGCGTCGAGTGCACGCTGAGGATGGTCTCCCCAGTGAGTGTCCGAACCCAGGTCCTGGTCGTCGTCGCTCATCCATGCAAAGCGAGCGAGGATGTCGCTTAGTGGCTTGGCTGACGCCGGATGAGTGAGCAGTGCCGACGGCGAGGCGACCAACGCCTCAAGCTCGGCCGGTGCCACCGCGGCCGCGAGGTCTGCACCCAGCGAGCGGAGCGCGGCCAACGCGCCGCCGGTCACTGATGGAATGGCTGCCAGGTATGCCTGGGCGGGGGCATCACCAAGCTCCTCACGCAACTGTGCGAGTACATGCCCGGCAAGGAGGCCTGATGCCCACGACCACGAGCCGACGGTAATGTAGAGCGGAAGGAGCCGTGCCACTACGGCGCAGGTGTGGGCAAGGCCGGCGGCAACCAGCTCGTCAGTGGCGAGGCCGCGAGCCCACGGCAGGTCGCCATCGGCCGCCGAAGCGGCGTCGAGCCAGGCCTGGATCTCTACATGGGTCTGATCACGGACGGTGTCCAAAACGCCGGCGTTCTCGAGCTGAGCATAGAGCCCGTGGCGGGCGTAGACCTGCCCAAACGAATGATCTTCGGCGCCAGGCTGGGCGACAGTTTGTAGAGGTCACGAGGTGCAGCCCAGCCGAGAAGCTGCGAGCCCCAGGTGAGGAGGAGCCGCGAGTGGGCGTCGCCCTGGAGGCTTTGAGTGAGCAAGCCGAGATAGTCGAAGAGAAACGGATACCAATTGCCGCCAGTCACTGCCGTCGCCGACGAGAGGGTGGTAATCGGCCGAGTCTGCAGAACCACCAGCGCGCCGCTCGACTGTAGCGCCCACTCGATGTCCTGCGGTCGGCCGTAGTGTTTGGCGACGTTGAGGCCAAGCTGGACCAGCTCGCAAACCTGCGCCTCGGTCAGCGGAGGGCCCTGACCAGACACATTGCGGACCTCGGTCCCGCCGGCAGCGACGGCAAAAACGCCGTCGACTTGAGCGCCTAGCTCAGACTCGACAACCTTGCCAAGGAGCCAGTCGAAGACAAACGAGGCTGGAGTGACCGAGGCCGAGACCAGCGACTCGCCAAGACCCCACACAGCTTCGATCCGGGCCCGCGGCGCAGCGGCGTTCATCGGATCGACGGTGAAGAGCACGCCGGCTGCCGCAGCAGGGACCATGGTCATGACAACCACAGCCATCGACGTGGCGTCCGCGGCCGCGACCTTGGCCTCGCGGGTCCTGTGGTAGGCAAAGGCGCGCGGGTGCCAGGCCGATGCCCATGCCTTCTTGATGGCAACAAGCACGCCGTCGACGGTCTTGACATTGAGATAGGTCTCGTAGATGCCGGCGTGCGACGCCGACGCGCCATCCTCGCCCACGCCCGACGACCGGACCGCCACGCCCGACGCCAGCAGGCTGTCACCGCCAGCGCCGGCAATCCACTCGCCCACCGCGGCTGCAACGGCAGGATCCAGAGGATGCGCCACAATCGCGGCCTGAAGCGCCTCCAGCGCCTCCTTCGACGACGCCAGCCGCGCGCCGAGCTTGGCTTTGGCAGCAGCGCGGAGTTTCGCCAGCTCTGGCGAGGCCATGTGGGCCTGATAGGCCGAGGCGGTGACAACGCACCCGAGTGGGACCGGCACACCAACAGCGCTCAGCTCGACGCATCGTAGACCCTTGCCGCCCAGCTCGTCGACGCTCATACCGGCTGCCTCGTTGAGATCGACAACCGCCGCGGCACGATCGGGCTCTCCGACAAGAACCAACTCAAACGAGCCGCCAGCCGGGAACTCTGCCTGAACTACCGATCCGCGCCACACAGTGCGGCCACACGTATCGGTGAAGATATGGCCAGAGCACGCTGTCTCCGAGTCGGCAATCGTCGCAACCACACGCCCATCGCCAGCACCAGCCTCCTCGCCGACCACCACATACTCAGCTTGTCCATACGCATAGTGCCTCCCTGCTGTCGACGAGACCAGGTCAATCACATAAGGCGACGGTGTGAAACCTGGCACAACAAGCGTCCCCTCCCACCGCTGTCCCGCTTGCAGGATGGTCTGAGAAGGTTTCGATGCCGACATGCTAGAGAGATGGGGGGAAGGGGCAGGGGGCAGGGGCAGGGGAAGGGTAGGGAGGGCAGAGAATTGGGCTTCTTTTGTGGCGACAGTTTTTGTTCCAAAAGTGCGAGGGAGAGGAGAGGGGGGGCTGCAACATGCTGCACACTGCAGGATTGACGGGGGGGGGGGGGGGGGGATGGAGGATGGGGAGGCTGGCTGCAAACACTTGTTGCCACCCTGTTTGCGGGAGGAACATGGGCTACACGCACTATTGGAGCTTTGCGTCGGATGAAGGGTTCTCGGATGAGGCTTGGGCGGCCATTGTGGAGGCTGTGGGGAGAGTCTTGGAGAATTCACCGGTTGCGCTCTCCAACGAGACTCGGGTTGATGATGATGCGATCGTGATCAATGGTGCCGAACCAGACGACTTTGAGACGCTTGTCATCCGTCATGATGTGTCAAACACGCATGCCTTTGGCCCCATGCCGCACGCCGGCTTTGTCAAGACCCAATGGCGCCCGTACGACGTCGTGGTGTGCGCCACGCTCCTCATCCTCCGCACCCTGAGTCCAGACGTCATCACCATCTACAGCGATGGCGAATGGGACGGGGAGTGGATCGGTGCCCGCGCCTTGGCGTCGAACGTCCTCCCGGACCTAGCCGCCTCCTTTAGCGAGCAATCGAAGCTCACGCCGTTCCCCGAGTAGCAGCCGGGCGGCTTGTAGCCGATCAGGCATCCGATCAGACTTGACCGATCGCAGCCAGAAGCCGCCGCCCGCTCACGCCTATCAAGCGCCACGTGCTGCAGTAGTTTGTAAAGAACCGGAATGGTGGCAGTAGCTGCTGCGCCATCGCGCATCATGCCCTCTCCCTTCCCCTCCGCCGCGTCTGGCTCCACCACCACGTGACGCGCACGCGGTGACACCTCGACAACCACAGGCCCGAACGGAAGCAGACAACACGGCTCGCTCGGCTCCAGGCCTGGCAGTTTGGCAAATGAAGCATGTGTCGACATGGGGGAAGCGTGAAGAGGCTGTGGCGGGGCTGGTGTGGCTGAGTCTGGCGCTCGGCCTTGCGGCGGTAGCCGGGACATCCGTGTGGGCGGCGGCGGTCTCGGCCGTCCTCCTCGGCCACGTGGCGGTGTCTGTGGGCGAGACTGTAGTCCATCGCAACGTGTATCATGGCCATTGGGCATGGATCAAGGCCAAGCGGCCACCGGCGCTCGCCGGGGCCATCGCTTTTCTGCAGCCAGTGGTGGACGGCGTCCACGGCTGGCTCCGCGCCGGCTACGTCCACCACTGGGTTGTCCACCACGACCACGCACGGCGCGCGCCTGCCGAGGTGGCGACGACCGGCATGCCGCCGGCCGATCTTGCGGCTGAAGCCGACAATGTGCACGGCGCCGGCCACGCGGCGGCGCTGTACTACTCGAGCTACGGCATGGAGTGCTTCTCGTTTGGCATTGCCGCTCATACGTCGACACTGCTGGCAACGCCGATGCCGCTGGTCGGCGCCGTGCTGGGTGGATGGTACGCGTGGGCCGGAACATCAGCAGCCGGAGTGGCGGCGCTGATGACGCTGTTCTGGCTGCCTGCATGCTGGTACGCCGCATCATCGTGCGGATATCACAAGTACCTGCACTTGCGGCCCAAGCTGCGGGCGGCGGCGACGCCGTGGTGGCTTCGCTGGCTTGTTCTCTCTCGCGAGGGCGCCCGCCTTGCCGCCGACCACCACGCCCATCACTTTGGAGCCAATGCCGATGCCTATTACAACATTGTCCCGCTCGGCCGCTGGTTCACGTGGTGGCTCGCCTAACACAAGAACGGTGTACAACCCAAATGAACACAATTAGCTAGATGTTATGAGCTCGACAGAGCGGAACTCGACGCTGATGGCCTCGACAGCGGCATCGTCGACGGCATCAATGTACGTCACGTCGAGCGACTTGAGCGAGGGCAGGGCGTGGAGGAGGGCTGTGATGCCTGCAGGCGTGACGTTCCACAGGAAGCGAAGCGAGAGGTGCTCGAGCGCAGGGCAGTGCTTGGCGACAGAAACCAGGGAGGCATCGGTAAGCAGATGACAGCCTCCGAGGAAGAGCGACTTGAGCTTCGGCGTGTGGACGAGGACCTTGGCCAGGGCCGCATCGGTGGTGTTCCACACACCGCCGATGTTGAGCGTCTCCACGTTCTTGAGGAACGGGGCTGCCGAGATGAGTCCGTCCGCCGTCAGCCGCCGGCACGAGAGGAACGACACGTCCTTGGCCAGCTCGAGCTTCGGCCCCAGCACCTGCAGCGACTCGTCCACCACCAAGGCCTTGGCCAGCATCAGCTCCACAGACTGCCACAGCCCGGGGAACTGCGCATAGTCGTACCACTTGTGGCACGTCTGTGCAACCTTGGACAGCGACTCGGTGTCCAGAAACTTGAAGATGTATCGCCAGCACTTTTCGTCCAGCATCTGCGCGTTCTCCACCCCCACGGTTGCGGCTGTGAGTCGCGCCGCCCGCACCCACCCGCGGGTTTTCCCGCAAGCGCCAAAAAAAATATCCGCGCCATCTCGCGCCATCGTTCCCGCCACGTCGCGCCACCGCCACCCGCGCTCCCCGGCCGCGGTCAACCGCCCATGCACCCCCTCCCGCCCTCCATCCCGCCTCTCCTACCCACTACCGACAGAGTCTAGGCCGGCAATGACCAGCGCCATCTCCTAAGAACGCGGAGCAAGCCTTCGCAAGAAACCCAAAAACCGGGGAAGCTTGCCTCCCACCACCATAACTAATCGTTCGATACCTTGACATTCGCGAACTTTGGTCACGACGCGTCCGACACCCACAGCCAGCCAGCAGCGGTGGAGCCCCCCTCTCCCCCCCCCCTGCCCCCCCCTCCCAAGGACACAAGCCGGGCTATAGCCACTCTAAAAAATCGCAACAAGGCCTACTAGCCTCTAAACCCAACGTACGTTTGCCGGCGAGGTCATGCCGTCTGAAGCCCCAGGCGCAGCTCGCCCCATTACCGAGTTTGTCCCTTGGGCTGAGGGTAGGTGGTGAAAGAGGAGGAGGACGGGCAAGCAAGCGGTCGGAGAAGTGGCGTTCCCACTCACCGAAAACTACCACACCAACCGTTGCATCGGGCAAACAAGGAAGAAAACCAAAGAGAGTCACTCGCCCAAAAAATAATCATTGCCACCCTCGAAAACAATTGAGTCGTTCATCGTTTGTGGGTGGCACTATGGTTGGCTGACTGGCTTGCATTCGCTCATTCGCCTCGTCCACCCGCACGTCTCGCACATTTTTGCGCGCTTCTCCCGACCGTTGCGGTTGTAACCAACAAAACAACCCGCGCGCGCTGTGCCCCCCCCTCCCCCCCCTCTATCCCTCCCCTTGCACGCAACAGCAAGTGGGCTCGCGAGACAGTAGCTACCCTCTACTCTACCCCCCCCCCCCCCCCACCACACACACACACACACATACACAAACGCAGTTGCGTTACTGAACCATGTCGTCGCGGCGTGACTATGACGACTCGCGTTCAGACTCGGGCTCGATGTCCGGCTCCAACTCGGACGGGTCGTCGAACCGCTCGCGCGGCGAAGACGACGACTCGGAGCGGGCGATCAAGTGGCTGCAGCGGTACGTGCTTGCAGAGCTTGGCGTGAAGAAGGACAAGTGGAAGAAGATGATGCTCATCTCCGAGTGCCGCTACGCGGTTCACAACTTTGTGGAGGAACCGTCGCTGCGGTGGATCCTGTTCTACGTCTCGGGCCCCGAGCTCTTTGCGGCGGTCAAGTACCCGTCGCAGCTGAGCAAGAAGGCGTTGTACCTCATCAAGGAAGATGACGCGCCCGAGGTACTCTCGCCGGAAACGATGGGCGAGTACATTACGTCGGGTGACCTCGCGACGGCGCCGCTCGACCAGCTCTCGCTGCTTGTGGACGAGGTCTACACGCCGCTGCTCAAGAACCGGCGGAACCACGCCGGGTGGCCCGACGTGGTGGAGGACGACATCATCCGCCACTTCCACAAACTCGCGGGGGCCGTGTATGTCATCGGTGGGCAGACCAAGGGCAAGACGCTGCTCCCGCTCCCGCCCGAGGCCGACGCCACCGACGCCACCTCGCAGGACAAGTCGCTCGTCCACCAGATCGAGTCTGCGGTCATTGAGTGGACCCACCAGGTCCGCGCAGTTGTCAAGTCGTCCAACGACGAGCTTCTCAAGCGGGCGTACACCAACTTGCAGTCTGCGCTGCAGTCCTCGTTCTCACCGGCGCTCTCAATCGGGCCCAACGGTGAGCTTCGAGTCAACGGCGTCGACGCCACCGACCCCACTGCTCAGCTTGCCGCGCTCTCGAAGGCTGGCGCCGCCGCGCTCACCTCCGAGTCGTCGGGCTCCGACTCTGCACCCAACGGTGGCGGCGCCGGCTCGGACGCCGGTGACGCCGTCTCGGCCACCTCGGAGATTGCGTTCCCAGGGCCTGGCGCCGAGCTCGACTTCTGGGAGGCCAAAGCCGCTAACCTGCAGTGCATCCACGACCAGCTCTACGATGAGAAGATGCGCAAGATTGGGCGGGTCCTCGACATCTCGCGCTCGTCATACTACCCGGCCTTCCAGGCCATCTACGCCGAAGTCGACACTGCGCTCACCGAGGCGTACGACATCCACAAGTGCATCGCCCCGCTCCGCGAGTACGTCGAGGGCATGGAGAACCTGTCGGCGTACGTCGACCTCGCTGGCGTCTTCAAGCCCATGATCCACGTACTCTCGCTCGTCTGGGCCGAGTCGGCGTACTACTCGGTCCCGCACCTCATTGTGCTCATTCAGGAGATGTGCAACGATGTCATCGAGCACACCCGCGAGTTCATCGGCGCCGACCGGTTGTTCTCGATCGAGACCCATGACGCCGTCGAGTCGCTCGAGGTCGCCCTCGAGGTCCTTGCCCAGTTCAAGGCCACATTCTTCCACTACAAGTCGCAGATCAACGCCGCCAATCCGGAGCGCGCGTGGCGGTTTGACGACATCACCGTCTTTAAGCGCCTCGACCAGTTTGTGGCCCGCCTCAAGGACCTCCTTGACCTCATGCAGACCATCCTCGAGTTCAACAAGCTCGAAAAGGTCGAGGTTGGTGGCTCCAAGGGCGAAGTCCTCACCGCCACCGTGGTCGAGATCTTCAAGGAGTTTGAAGAGTCGGTCCTAGTCTTTGCCGGCATCGAGTACGACGTCCTCGACGTGTACGACATGCGCTACGCCTCACAGGCCGCGGCCTTCCGCGTCAAGATCCAGGACCTCGAGCGCCGCATCTCCACCGTCATCTCGGAAGGTTTTGACGACGCCGTCACCGTCGCCGCCTCGTTCAAGCTCCTTGACTCGTTCCACGGCATGCTCCATCGCGACGCCATCCGGTCCGACTTTGATCGCAAGTACGTCGAGCTAGTCGACATGTACGCCCGCGACCTCGACGAGGTCCACGGGCTCTTTGTCCGTGAGCGCGACAACCCGCCGCTCCACACCAACCTCCCGCCGGTCGCCGGCGCCGTCTTTTGGGCCCGCAACCTCTCCAAGCGCATTGCCCAGCCGCACGCCAAGCTCCTCAAGCTCAACTCGGACGTCCTCGAGCTCCCGCAGGGCCTCGACGTCCTCGCCAAGTACGACACGCTCTCGGCCGAGCTCGCCAACTACGAAGCCGAAAAGCACGTCCTCTGGGTCGCCTCGGTCGACCTCAAGGCCTCGGAGAAGCTCAACAACTCGCTCATCGCACGCGACGCAGACACCAAGAAGCTCGAGGTCAACTTTGCGCCCGCGCTCGTCACCCTCCTCCGCGAAGTCAAGTACCTCCAGTACCTCGGGCTCGAAATCCCGCCGGCCGGTGCCCAGCTCTACGCCGAGTCGGAGCAGTTCCGCGCACACATTGCCGGCCTCAACATCATTGTCGACACGTACAACAAGATCATCTCGACTCTCCTGCCCGTCGAGGTTCCGCTCGTCGAGGAGCGGCTTACCAAGATCGACCGCGAGCTCGAGCAGGGCATCCACCACCTCAATTGGCGCTCAACCTCGATCGGTGAGTTCATCACCTCGGTCTCTGCCCTCGTTGCCGACGTCGACGCCATCCTCACCACCCTCAAGGACAACGTCGAGGAGCTCGAGTACATCATGCTCCACTGGTCGAACCGCCCGCTCATCTCGCGCAAGGACTCACGCAAGTACCTCGACATGGACGACTGCCGCGAGAAGATCATGGCCCGCTCGCTCGAGATCGAGCTGCAGGGCGGCAAGATCCACTCGCTCATCAAGGAGTCGCGTGCCACCGTTGGCCTGCCTGCAGACGCCCAGCCGTGGATTGACTACGTCGCCTACGTCAACGGCATCATCAAGAAGGGCTTCCACGACACCGTCAAGACCTCGCTCGAGTTCCTCGCCTCGAACATGAACGACGACTACCTCCGCCGCAACGAGCTTCCGCCACTCTTCGAGGCCCGCCTCGAACTCCGCGAGCCCGAGGTGGTGTATGACCCGCCGCTGCTCGCCTCGTCTGAGGCCGACCTCAAGCAGATCTTCATCGAGCTCATGGCCGCCTTTACTAAGATCGGCAAGCTTGTCAAGCGCATCGACTCCAAGCCGGGCTCGAAGAAGGAGAACTACTTCCGCTTCCTCAACGAGGACCCGGTCCTCCGCCAGCTCCGCAACGAGATCATCGACAACATCAACGTCACGATCCAGGACTGCCTCCACTTTAAGAACGAGTTCATGGCGTACTCGGACCTGTGGATCAACGACCGCAACGACTACATGGAGTCGTTCCTCCTCTACGGCAAGGAGCTTGAGCTCGGCGAGGACGAGCTCCTCGAGCACGCTGAAGTCGAGGAGAACGCGCCCACCCTCGATGACTTTGCCCACCAGATCGACCAGCAGACCAAGTACCTCGAGTCGGTCATGGACATCCAGGACTCGGCCACCTTCCACTGGCTCCGCATCAACATCAAGCCGTTCAAGACCTCGCTCTCCAACGTCATCCGCAAGTGGCGTCTCATGTTCACCGACTACCTCTACAACGACGTCGTTGGCTCGCTCACCTCGCTTGCCGACTTTATCGACACCACCCGTGCCGGCCTCCTCCGCGACGTCAAGGAGGGCGACTACGCCGCCCTCGTCGAGACCATGGGCGTTCTCCGCGACGTCCGCTCGCGCATCGACGCCACAGACTCGATGTTCAAGCCGCTCCACGACAAGATCACCATGCTCAAGGAGTACAACATCGAGATGCCCGGCTCGGTCGTCGACCAACTCAACGACCTCCCGCAAGAGTGGACAAACCTCAAGCGCTCCATGTATGCCGTCCGCGACAAGCTCACCCCGCTGCAGCAAATCGAGGTCGCCAAGATCAAGAAGCGCCGCGAGGCCTTTATGCGCGAGGTCGCCGCCTTCCGGGTCTCCTTTGAGCGGACCGCGCCCGTCGCTTGGGCCCTCGACCAGCTCGAGGCGTACACCACCATCGACGCCACGTTTTCCAAGCTCCACGAGCTCGAGCTTGCTGCCGCCGACCTCGCCGACCAGGAGGAGCTCTTTGAGCTCACCGTCACCACCTACAAGGAGCTGCCGGAGACCCGCAAGGAGCTGCTCCACTTTAAGGCCCTCTGGGACATGATCTCGCTCGTCCGCTACCAGTTTGAGGAGTGGCGCTCCACTCTTTGGACTCACATCGATACCGAGCAGATGGACGCCGACTGCAAGTCGTTCCTCAAGCAGATTCGCTCGCTCCCGCGCGAGACAAAGCGCTGGGACGCCCGCGCCGGCCTCGACGTCTACCTCAAGAACCTTCTCAAGTCGCTCCGCTCCATCTCGGACCTCCGCTCCGACGCCCTCCGCCAGCGCCACTGGGACGAGCTCATGCGCGAGACTGGCGTCCGCATCGACATCTCGGGTGAGGTCTACCTCAAGGACCTCCTCGCCCTCGAGCTGCACAAGTACGAAGAAGTCGTCTCCAACATTGTCGACTCGGCCCAGAAGGAGCTGCGCATGGAGAGCGCACTTGCTGACATTGCCGAGACCTGGCGGACCATGGAGTTCTCGTACGAGGCCCACACCGATGGCACTCCGCTCCTCAAGCCCGACGACGACCTCATCGAGACGCTCGAGGAGAACATGGTCAAGCTGCAGAACATGCTCTCGTCCAAGTCGGTTGCCTACTTTCTCGACAAGATCGAGACGTGGCAGTCCAAGCTCTCCAACGTCGACACCGTCCTCCACCTTTGGCTTGAGGTCCAGCGGACTTGGCTTCACATGGAGTCGATCTTTATCGGCTCCGAGGACATCCGCGAGCAGCTCCCGGCAGACTCGAAGCGCTTTGACCGCATCGACGCAGACTGGAAGACGCTCATGGCGTCGGCAGAGGGTGTGACCAACGTCATCGAAGTCACCGCCGCCCCGGGCCGGGCTGCCAAGCTCACCAAGCTCGAGGAGGCTCTCGAGGTCTGCGCCAAGGCCCTCGAGCAGTACCTCGAGACCAAGCGCCTCGCCTTTCCGCGCTTTTACTTTATCTCGGTCAACGACCTGCTCGACATCCTCTCCAAGGGCAACGACCCGGCGGCCATCATGATCCACATTCCCAAGCTCTTTGACAACATCAAGTACCTCGACTTTGCCGTCGACGAAGAGACAGGCGAGCCTTCCAAGACCGCTATCGCCATGCACTCGGCAGAGGGCGAGGTCGTCAAGCTCAACGTTCCCTGCGAATGCTCCGGCCAAGTCGAGGTCTGGCTCAACCGCCTCATCGACTCGATGCGCACTTCCCTCCGCAACATCCTCGCCGAGGCCTACGTCGCGTACGAGGAGAACCCGCGCGTCGACTGGCTTCTCGAGTACCCGGCTCAGATTGCGCTTGCCGGCTCGCAGATCTGGTTTGCCCAGGAAGTCGACCAGGCTTTTGAACGCCTCGTCGACGGCTACGAGGCCTCGCTCAAGGACTACCTCAAGAAGGTCCTCGCGCAGCTCCACGAGCTCATCCAAATGCTACAGGGCGACATGGGCAAGCTCGACCGGAAGAAGATCATGACCATCTGCACGTACGACACCCACTCGCGCGACGTTCTTCGCAACCTCATTGCAGACAAGAAGGTCGAGAACCGCATGGCCTTTGGCTGGCAGTCGCAGCTCCGCCTCCGCTGGGACGACGACAAGGCCGACTGCTTCCTCTCCATCTGCGATGCCGAGTTCCAGTACCAGTACGAGTACCTCGGCAACCAGACCCGCCTCGTCATCACCCCGCTCACTGACCGTTGCTACATCACCCTCACCCAGTCGCTCCGCCTCGTCATGGGTGGCTCACCGGCAGGGCCCGCCGGTACCGGTAAGACCGAGACGACCAAAGACCTTGGTCGCGTCATGGGCATCCGCGTCCTCGTCCAGAACTGCTCGCCGCAGCAGACGTACCTCGACCTGGCCAACATCTTCAAGGGCCTCGCCCAGTCGGGCATGTGGGGCTGCTTTGATGAATTCAACCGTATCTCCATCGAAGTGCTCTCGGTCGTCTCCACCCAGGTCAAGTCCATTCTCGACGCCATTCGCGCCCGCAAGTCGCGCTTCCTCTTTATGGGCGACGAGATTTCACTCAACAAGAACGTCGGCATGTTCATCACTATGAATCCCGGCTACGCCGGTCGTACCGAGCTGCCCGACAACCTCAAGTCGCTCTTCCGCCCGGTCTCCATGGTCGTGCCCGACCTCGACCGCATTTGCGAGATCATGCTCATTGCCGAAGGCTTCGAGAACGCCCAGGACCTGGCCCTCAAGTTCACCACGCTCTACGCCCTCACCTCGGAGCTCCTCTCCAAGCAGGACCACTACGACTGGGGCCTCCGCGCCATCAAATCGGTCCTCGTCGTTGCAGGTCCGCTCAAGCGTGCCGAGCCGCACCTCTCCGAAGAGGCCATTCTCATGCGTGCGCTCCGTGACTTTAACCTGCCCAAGATTGTGTCGGAGGACGTCTCGGTCTTTATGAACCTCATCAACGACCTCTTCCCCGACATTGCCCTCGACCGCAAGGTCGACGCCGTCTTTGAGGACACCATCACGCAGGTCCTCGTCGAGTCAGGCCTCCAGCCCGAGCCCATCTTTGTGCTCAAGGTTGTCCAGCTCGCCGAAATCCTCAACGTCCGTCACTCGGTCTTCATCATCGGGCCTTCTGGCTCGGGCAAGTCGCAGGTGTGGAAGACGCTTGCCAAGACCCAGACCCGGATGGGCTCCAAGACACTTGTCCGCGATATCTCGCCCAAGTCGGTCTCCACCAACGAGCTCTACGGTTTCTCAAACCCGGTCACCAAGGAGTACACCGACGGACTCCTCTCCAAGATCATGCGCGATCTCAAGGACATGCCCGACTCGAACCCCAAGTGGATTGTGCTTGACGGCGACATCGACCCCGACTGGATCGAGTCGCTCAACACGGTCATGGACGACAACAAGGTCCTCACACTGCCGTCCAACGAGCGTATCGACCTCCTTGCCCACATGCGGCTCATCTTTGAGGTCGGCGGCCTCAAGCACGCCACCCCGGCCACGGTCTCACGTGCCGGCATCCTCTTCCTCAACGAGTCGGACCTCGGCTGGGGCCCGTTCCACCTCTCGTGGATCAACGCGCGCTCCAACGTCGGTGAGACCTCGAACCTCACCGTGCTCTTTGACAAGTACGTGGCCAACATCCTCGAGTTTATCAACAAGAACCTCGCCCACGTCATTCCGCTCTCCAACTTTGCCATGGTTCAGTCGCTCTGCAACTTGCTCGACGGCCTTCTCACTCCGGCCAACGTCCCGCCGGGCTCGGACAAGGAGCTCTACGAGTACTACTTTTGCTTTGCCTGCGTCTGGGCCTTTGGTGGTGCCTTTGTCAACGAGGGCTCGGTCACCAAGCACCGCGCAGAGTTCTCATCGTTCCTCAAGTCGAGACTCGCGCCGTCAAGTTCCCCTCGGCCGGCACCGTCTACGACTACTACGTCGACTCGTCCGGCCGCTGGGCGCCATGGACCGATCTCGTTCCGGCCTACGAGCACGACCTCGACGCCATTGTCTCGCGCTCGTTTGTGCCGACCGCTGAGACCGAGCGCCTCCGCTACTTCCTCAACGTCCTCGTCTCGGTCGGCAAGCCGGCCATGCTGGTCGGTGGCGCAGGCTGCGGTAAGACCATGCTCCTCAAGGACGTCATCTCGGCGCTGGACGACACCGAGTACATGTCGGTTGGCATCAACCTCAACTACTACACCACCTCGGCCATGCTGCAGTCGATCATGGACGCGCCGCTCGAGCGCAAGATGCGCCGCGACTTTGGCCCGCCCGGCATGAAAAAGCTCATCTACTTTGTCGACGACTTCAACATGCCCATGCTCGACACCTACGATACTCAGACCCCGCTCACCCTCATCCGGCAGCACATCGACTTTGGCCACTGGTACGACCGCGAAAAGTGGGAGCTCCGCAACGTGCTCCGCTGCCAGTACCTCGCCGCCATGAACCCGTCGACCGGTACCTTTACCATTGACCCGCGCCTCCAGCGGCACTTTACCACCCTCGCCGTCGAGTTCCCCTCCAAGGACGCCCTCTCGCACATCTACACCTCCATCCTGAACGCTCACCTGGCCGAGTTCCGCGGTGGTGTGGCCAAGATGGCGCCGTCGCTGGTCGAGGCTGCATACCAGCTCCACACCCTCGTTGCCAACACCTTCCTTCCCACCGCCATCAAGTTCCACTACCAGTTCAACCTCCGCGACCTCGCGTCCATCGTCCAGGGCCTCCTCGAGTCGCAGCGCGGCATCATCAAGGAGCCTGTCGAGATGGTTCGCCTCCTCGCCCACGAGTGCCGCCGCAACTATGCCGACGTTCTGACCACCATGGACGAGATCTCCCGGTTCGAGACCTTCCTCGCCGACATGGTCCGCAAGAATTTTTCCTCGGAGTTCCGCATCAAGGACGAGGACGTGCTCCTCGAGCCGCTCCTCTTTGCACACTTTGCGCAGGGCGTCGGTGACAACACCTACGCCCGCGTCCCCTCGTTCGACTCGCTCCACGCCATCCTCACCGAGGCCCTCGAGCAGTACAACGAGCTCAACGCGGAGATGGACCTCGTGCTCTTCCAGGACGCCATGGAGCACGTCTGCCGCATCTCGCGCATCATCATGAATGGCGAGGGCAACGCCCTGCTCGTCGGCGTCGGTGGCTCGGGCAAGCAGTCGCTCTCGCGCCTAGCCGCGTCCATCAACTCGTTCGAGGTCTTCCAGATCCAGGTCAAGGCCAACTACGGTGTGCCCGAGCTCAAGACTGACCTCATGGCCCTGTACAACAAGGCCGGCCTCCGTGGCGACGACGTGGTCTTCCTCCTCACCGACACTCAGATCGTCAACGAGGCCTTCCTCATCTACGTCAACGACCTGCTCTCTTCCGGTGACATCCCCGACCTCTTTGCGCCCGAGGACAAGGACAACATCGTGGCCTCCATCCGGACCGAGGTCAAGCAGGCCGGCATTATGGACACCCGTGACAACTGCTGGGCCTACTTTATCTCCAAGGTCCAGCGCCACCTCCACGTTGTCCTCTGCTTCTCGCCGGTCGGCGAAGCCTTCCGCTCGCGCTACCGCAAGTTCCCGGCCCTCGTCAACAACTGCTCCATCGACTGGTTCCACCCCTGGCCGCATGAGGCTCTCGTCTCGGTCGCCTCGTACTTCCTCAAGGACACCGACCTCGCGTCCGACGACATCAAGAACTCTGTTGTTCTCTTTATGGCCGAGTGCCACCGCTCTGTCGAGGCCGCATCGACCACGTTCAAGGAAGTCTACCGCCGCCACAACTACACCACGCCCAAGTCGTTCCTTGAGCTCATCAAGCTGTACAAGATCAAGCTCGAGGAGCGTCGCGACCATATCATCCAGGAGCGCAACCGCCTCACCTCGGGTCTCGACCGCCTCGAGTCGGCCGCCGACCAGGTTGCCCAGCTCCACGAGCGTCTCGCCCTTGAAAAGGCCGAGCTCGAGGAGCGCTCCAAGGTCACACAGGACCTTGTCGAGCAACTCGCTGCTGATACCGAAAAGGTCAACGCCGAGCGCGAGGCCGCTGAGGAAGAGGAGCGCAAGACGGATCTCGTCGCCCAGGAGGTCGCCAAGCGCCAGGCTGCGTGTGACGAGGACCTCAAGCTCGCCGAGCCGGCCCTCATCAAGGCCATGGAGGCGCTTGACACCTTTGACCGTGACGACATTGTCTTTGTCCGCTCGCTCCCAGCACCGCCCAAGGCCGTCGTCAAGGTCCTCGCCGCGGTCATGGTCCTCATGTCGCCGCCGGGCCGCCTCCGGCGCGACGTCTCGTGGGCCTCGGCCAAGAAGACCATGAAGGACGTGAACCGGTTCATGGAGTCGCTCAAGGAGTTTGACAAGGACAACATTCCTCCCGAGAACCTCCGCGAGCTCGAGCGCAAGTACCTCAATGATCCCGAGTTCAACTTTGACTCGATGGTGTCCAAGTCCAAGGCCGCCGCCGGTCTCTGCGACTTTGTCATCAACATTGTCGAGTACCACCGCATTTACGTCGTGGTCCAGCCGAAGCGCGATGCTCTCGCCGAGGCCACCCAGCAGCTCGAGGTGGCCCAGGCCAAGCTCGACTCGGTCAAGAAGCGCGTCGGTGCCCTCAAGCGCAACCTCGAGGAGCTGACCGCCAAGTTTGAGCGCGCCAACGCAGACAAGATGGCCATGGAGGCCCAGGCTGAGCAGACCGCGCTCACCATCCAGCTCGCTGATCGCCTCGTTGCAGGCCTCGCCGGCGAGAAGGTCCGCTGGTCGCAGGAGGTCGACAGCCTGCGCGTCCAGGAGTCGACCCTCGTGGGCGACGTCCTCGCGGCGGCTGCCTTTATCTCGTACATTGGCCCGTTCAACCGTCCGCTCCGTGAGGACCTTGTCCAGGTCCAGTGGCTCCCGTGGCTCCTCGAGCACAAGGTCCCGCTCTCAGACAACTACGACCCGCTCGACATTCTCACTTCGGACGCCCAGATTGCGCAGTGGAACAACGAGGGTCTCCCCACCGACCGCGTCTCGCTCGAGAATGCCGCCATCTGCGCCAACTGTGAGCGCTGGCCGCTCATCGTCGACCCGCAGAACCAGGCTGTGGTCTGGCTCCGCGCCCGCGCCGGCTTTGAGGACATGATCTCGCTGCAGATGACCAAGGACGGGTACCTCTCCTCGGTTGTCGACGCGCTCTCCGACGGCGGTGCCGTCCTCCTCGAGGACGTCCGCGAGGAGATCGATCCCATGCTCGGCCCGGTCATGGGCCGCAACGTCTTCCGCCGCGGCAACGAGGAGGTCATCATTGTGGGTGGCCAGGAGCGCTCGTTCTCGCGCAACTTTAAGATGTTCATGGTGACCAAAATGGGCAACCCGCACTTCCGGCCCGAGGTCCAGGCCCAGACCACGCTCATCAACTTTACCGTGACCGAGGACGGCCTCGAGGACCAGCTCCTCGCGACCGTTGTCAAGAACGAGCGGCCCGACCTTGAGGCTGAGCGCTCTGAGCTCATCCGCCAGCAGAACGAGTTTGAGATCAAGCTCAAGGAGCTCGAGTCGTCGCTCCTGCAAAAGCTGCAGGAGGCTGAAGGCGACTTCCTCTCGGACACCGCCCTCGTCGAGAACTTGGAGACAACCAAGGCGCTTGCTGACGACATCAACGCCAAGAAGAAGCAGGCCATTGAGACGCGCATTGCACTCAACAAGATCCGTGACAACTACCGCCCGGTGGCGTCGCGCGGCTCGCTCCTCTACTTCCTGCTCAATGACCTTGCCGAGGTCGACCACATGTACCAGTACTCGCTTGACGCCTTTGCGCTTGTCTTTGAGCGGGCCATGGGCGGCGCCGAGGAGTCTGAGGACGTGGCCGAGCGCGTGCGCTCGCTTACCAACTCGATCACCTTTGCCGTCTTCTCGTACGCCGCTCGTGGTCTCTTTGAGCGTCACAAGCTCATCTTTGCTTCGCTCCTCTGCTTCCGCATCCTCCGCTCGCTTGACGAGGTCGACGCCGCTGAGCTCGAGTTCCTCGTCCGCGGCAAGGACGCCGGCGAGGTCTCGTCGCCGCTCGAGTGGTGCTCGTCGGCCGCCTGGTCGATGGTTGTCGAGCTCTCCAAGCTTCCGGCCTTCAAGCGGCTCGCCGACGACATCGAGGGTTCGTCGGCTCGCTGGCGCAAGTGGTGCGAGGAGCCATACCCGGAGGACGTGCCCATGCCGCAGGACTGGAAGCACCGCCAGAACGTGCAGAAGCTCTGCATCATCCGCTGCCTCCGCCCGGACCGCCTCATTGCCGCCCTCATTCAGTTCATCACCGAGTCGCCGCATCTCGGCGTCCAGTACGTCGACTACAAGCATGAGCCGATCTGGAAGACGTTTGAAGAGACGTCGCCGTCGACGCCGCTGTTCTTCATCCTCTCGCCGGGTGTCGACCCGCTCAAGGACCTCGAGGCCCTTGGCCGGCGGCGCGGCTTCACCCTCGACAACGGCAAGCTCGTCTCGATCTCGCTCGGCCAGGGCCAGGACGGCATCGCGCTCGCTGCGCTCGACAAGGCCTACACCGAGGGCACGTGGGTCATGCTCGGCAACATTCACCTCATGATCTCGTGGCTCCCCACGCTTGAAAAGAAGATGGCTCAGCTCCGCGGCGGCGCCCATCCGGACTTCCGGCTCTTCCTCTCGGCCGAGCCGTCAAGCCAGGCCCAGTCCCAGATTCCAGTGGCCATTCTTCAGCAGTGCATCAAGGTGACCAACGAGCCGCCGCGTGGCATCCGCGCCTCGATGCTCCGCGCGCTCGACAACTTTGACCAGGACGCGCTGGAGCGGTCGTCCAAGGAAACCGAGTACCACGCCATCCTCTTCTCCATGTGCTTCTTCCACGCGCAAGTTCTCGAGCGCCGCAAGTTTGGCCCGCAGGGCTGGAACATCCCGTACCCGTTCAACACCGGCGACCTCACCATCTCCATGGACGTGCTCATCAACTACCTCGAGATCAACACCCGTGTCCCGTGGGAGGATCTGAAGTACATCTTTGGCGAGATCATGTACGGTGGCCACATCTCCGACGACTGGGACCGCCGCCTCTGCATGACCTACCTCGAGGGCTTCCTCAAGGACGAGCTTCTCAACGACGAGATCGAGCTCGCCGACGGCTTCCCCTCCCGCCGCACGGCTCGCTTGCCTCTTACCGCGAGTACATTGTCGAGTTCCTGCCGGCCGAGTCGCCGTCCATGTTTGGCATGCCTCGCAATGCCGAGACCGGCTTCCTCACCCAGCAGGCCGCCACCCTCTTCCGCACCATTCTCTCGCTTCAGCCGCAGATCGGCGGCGGCGCCGTGGCCGAGACCAAGGAGGAGCGCGTGCTGACCGTCATGACCGAGATCCTCGACTCGATCAACGATGATACCCTGTTCAACATGACCGAGCTCTACCTCGAGGCCGAGGACAAGATGGCCGACCCCTACGTTGTCGTCGCCCTCCAGGAGGCCGACCGCATGAACATGCTCGTGTCGGAGATCCTCCGCTCACTCCGCGAGCTCGACCTCGGCCTCCGCGGCGACCTCATGATGTCGCCGGCCATGGAGCGCCTCCTCCTCGAGCTCTACACCAACAAGGTGCCCGAGTCCTGGGCCGCCCGCGCCTACCCGTCGCTCAAGGGCCTCTCGGCCTGGTTCGTCGACCTCAAGAAGCGCATCCGCCAGCTCCAAAAGTGGCTGCAGACCTTCCGCATGCCCACAGTCATCAACCTGGCCTACTTCTTCAATCCGCAGTCGTTCCTCACTGCCGTCATGCAGGCCACCGCCCGCAAGAACTCGCTCCCGCTCGACTCGATGCGCCTCGTCACCGACGTCACCAAGCGCAAGCCGTCCGACATCTCCACCTCACGTCTCGAGGGCGCCTACATCACTGGCCTCAACCTCGAGGGCGCCCGCTGGGACACCCCGACCTCGCAGCTTGTCGAGGCCGACTCGCGCTCGCTTGTCTGCGACATGCCCGTTGTCTACGTCCGTGCCGTCACCCAGGACAAGTTCAACACCCAGGGCATGTACGAGTGCCCGGTGTACAAAACCCGTCGCCGCGGTGGTGAGGCCGGCGGCTTTGTCTGGGCCTTCTTCCTCCGCACAAAGGCTCCGCCCTCGACCTGGATTAAGGCCGGTGCCGCCATCCTGCTCTCTGCCGAGTAGTCCTTGCTACAGACGAAACAAACGAATTCACCATTCCTCTCCTTGCCTTGAGCCGCCCCAGCCGCAGCCATGCGTCACCGATCGCCCGCGCGTGGCGGCAGCCGAGCCTGAAAGCACTTCCCCATGTACTGTGTTGATGCTCCCTTTGAGGCGCGCGACAACGACCATACCGTTACGGGGTTTTTACTTGAATGCAGCCAAAACAGTCTCGGCAGCAGCAACAAGACTTGCCACATACCGCACCACGCCCTCATCCGCCGGACAAGACACATCGACGCTCTCGGCCGCAGCCGCCAGCGCACGCCGCTCCTCGACAACGCCGATGAGCATCTCGTAACCGGCTTGCGCCACCTCGTCGCCTGGCGCCTGCGTGGCGTCGCCATACAGTGCGCGTGCCATTGTAGCCCGCCACTTGGCAGGCCCGTCGCCCAGCGCAAACTGCAGGCGCACCTCGTCACCGTCATCGGCGCTCAGCTGAAGCTCGAGCACGTCGTTGGTGTTGCCTGGTGCCGCTGCACCAAACCGGAGCGCAGCCTCTGCATTCGATGCCTCCACAAGCGGTGCATTGGGGATTGGCACGCCTGGTGTGGTGTTCTCGCTGAGCCACACGCTCACAACCTCGTAGCTGCCATCAAGCCGCGCCACAGCGTATGCGTCAGCATGAGGCGAGTAGACAAAGGCCGACGGGTGGATCGGAAGGAAGACAAGGTCGCTCGTCCGCCCCGCAACAGCCATGGCGTGGAGGTCGACGCACGCACTCGCCCACAGATACCGCGGCCAGGCAAGGAGCGCAAGTGTCTCCTCTGCTAGCCCGAGGCTCTCGGCGCTCAGCGCTGCCACAACCGCATCGTACTCGGTCTTGGCTACAGTCATGGCGTCGACAAGAGCGGGAAAGAGCGGCGTAGCGGCGAGGACGTTGCGCATGCTGGGCGAGGCGAAGACTGGGCTGGGATGCTCGGCTGGCAGCGCCGCCGCCAGCCCATGCAGGGGTGCCGACGGCGTGTGGCGTGCGTAGATAATCCAGATCGCAAATGCGGTGCTGAGCTCCAGCTCGACCATCGGGTCCGCCAGCAGCTGGTCGAGCGCTCCCGCCATCCGGTCGCCGCCCGCGGCCCACGGCACGAACGCGCTCCGGGTCAGCGCCGCCGCCTCGGGAATGCGCAATGGCGAGGAGATGGGCAAATCGAGGCCAACGCTGCTCGCCCACGTCCGCCAGGTTTCAACCTGTTGTGTGCCGGCCTCTGAGCGCGCAGGCGCCACCCAGAGCTTCTCCGGTTGCAGATCAAGTGCGCCAATCGCCGTCTCGACCGCTGCCATGGCCGCCTCCAGAATAAGGCTCTGGCCGCGGCGGTAGTAGAGGCAGTGCCGCTCGTCAAGGGTGAGCTCGGCGCCCGAGGCAGGCCAGACGCCAGCATCGAGCACGGCCTCATCGTCTGCCGCCGAGACGCCAGCAGCGAGATGCCGGGCACGGAAGAGCGCAAGCAAGTGCGTGAGTGCCCGAAGCTTGTGCGTGGAAGCAGTCGTGCCGGACGCATGAGTCCGTGCCTGCGCCTCGTCGACCAGCGCGTCCGGGAGCGGCGCCGCCAGCGAGAGGTAGTGTCCGGCGCCGCCGGCGCTTAGCTGCACAAAGTACGTGTCCTCGACGACCGACGGTCCGGCAAAGCCGTAGGTGAGAAGCAGCTTCTCATTGCCCTTGGCATCGCCATAGTTGGAGAAGACTTCGCACCCGGCTGCGGTTGGCGTCCGGGTCTTGAGCGCAAAGTAGCCGTCGGTGAGCGAGGTGACGTACTCGACGCCGACATCGCCCGAGTGATTGAGGATGTCGGCCAGCGGAACGAGTGCCGCCGAGAGCCGGAGGTTTCCGGTCGCATCGCGGGCGGGGATCCCATAGCATCGTGACCAGAAGACCGAGTACGCCCAGAGCAGGCTGTCCATATCAAAGACGTCGCCATCCAGCACACCGCGGGCCACCAGCGGCCGAATGTGCGAGTCATACAGCGCATGCAGGCCACTGCGGATGCCAGCCACAGTCCGTTCCATGTTGGTGCCGGCAAGCAGGCGGGCCACCTCGGGGCTGTAGGTGACGGGCGTCGAGTCGATGACCTGCGGGAGGAGATCGATGTACGGAGTGTGAAAGGTCGTCCGCTCCGCGCGTGCATGGATCAGATACAGGTACAGCACCAGCCGCTCCAGCGACGTCGTATGCGTCCGCTCCTCCACCGACGGCCCGTCCAGCGCCTCGCCGTCGTCGCTGCCATCACCGCCGACGACGTCGTCATCGTCGCCGCCATCACTACCAGCCGGAGTTTCAGCCGATGCCGGCAGCGGGCAATCAGCGTCCGCCCAGGCGGCGACCAGCGAGCCAGCAAATGGTGACGAGGCCGCCGTCTCTTGCGTGAGCAGCATGGCCAGCGGGATGCGCAGCAGCTCGTCGCCTCGGGCAACGCCGTCGTCCTTTGCCGCCGTGATGCCCAGGCCATACCGCGACGGCGCAATGGCCAGGAGCGGATACTGCACCCCGCCTGCATCCAGCCAGGCCTCAAACGCTGCCACCCGTTCGGTTGTTGCTGCGTCAGGGTGGTACATGGTGAAGTCCAGAGAGGAGTGGAGGGTGGGGTTGGGGCTGCTCGGAGACGGGGGGGGGGGGGGGGGGGTGCACGCGGTGATGGCTGGGATCAAACACACCGCTGCTGCACGATGGCACACGCATCGGCAAGCACATTGCCTGGCACTGCCGCCGCAGGTCACGAATCTACATGGAGCACTTTACACACGCAACAACTTCGCCTCTCCCAACTCAACACACGGGCCGAATACAGCACGTGCTCGACGGAGAGCGGGAGATGTGACGGAGAGATTGGACAAGCGAGAGAGGCGAAGCGTCGGGCGGGGGCACACAGTGCTCTCGACTTAGGACGACGACGTCGAAACGACAACATCGTCCGGCTGGTCCACGCCGAGCGCATCGGCAAGGTGCACGATCTTCTCGTGCAGGACCAGAAGCTGGCGCCGCTCGTCGAGGACCGAGAAGAAGGCGCGGGCCTCCTCGCGGTTGAACGCAACGGGGTTCCGGGGATCGTAGCGCTCCATGAGCTGCTTGGCGTTGTCGATGCCAAGGAGGTCGGGCGCACGATCGGGGTGCTTCTTGATAAAGTTGTTGAGCTCCTTGGCCGAGAGCAGGCCGTCCTGGTTGGCATCGGCCTCGGAGAAGGCCTTCTGCCGGGCCGAGACAACACGGACCGGCTTGAGGCCGGCAACGCTGCGGAACTTGTTCTTGACAATGATCCATGCCTCGGTGAGCGGGCCTGGGTCTGCGCCAGCCCAGCGCTGCTCCTCCACCGACGACATGACCTTCTCGTGCGCCGAGAGGATGATGGCCAGGCCGAGGTTGATGAGCACGAGGTAGACAATGATGATAAAGGCGTAGAAGAAGAGCGGGCCGAGCGAAAAGTCGGCGCGGGTCAGCTCCGAGTAGTCAAAGTCGCCCAGCGCAAAGCGGAAGAGCCGCGAGAGGGTGAACGAGAACCGCGCAAAGCCTTCAACAGACTCGGCAAACAGCAGCTGCGCCGAAAAGACAAAGGCAAAGATGACAATGAGGATGACAATGAGGAAGAGCGCGAGGTCCGACCCGGACTCCTGCATCGTCCGCAGCAGCTGGTTGAGCTTGGTGTTCGTCTCGAGGAACTCGAACATGCGGAAGAACATCATAACAATGAGAATCGCCAGGCACCGCCGCACGTTGAGCGACGCAAACTCAATCTTGGAAAAGTCGACGTACTGCGAGTCCGAGACCACAAACTCAAAGTCCTCCACGAGCGCAACTGTCGCGACGCGGAAGGCAATCGTGAGGAGGAGGAGGATGACAAGAACAACGTTGACCCAGTTCCACCCGGACCGGAAGTACTTCTTGCCCTGCCGAATGAGCGAGTAGATCTGAAGCGCAATGAAAATCGCTGTCATAATCCAGAGGAAGATCTCAAACGTGATCTCAAACGCAGCAGACCGGTCGGCGCCAAACCCGTTCAACTCCACGGTGTGGAACGACGAGAACGGCCGCGCACCGCCAGACGCCAGGAACTCCCACGCAATCGTCACCACAGACACTGTGTCCAGGTACGGGTTGTACCACGCCATGCGGAAGTCAATCAACCGCGTCTGCACATCAACAAATCCGTTTTCCATCAGGTACGTCACGTTCGACACCGACGACGCAAGGTCCGGGCCGAGCGTCACAAGGAACCCACCCGAAGTGTACACACGCCGCTCGATCCAAAGCACCTTCTCATCCTCCGCCGCAGAGTACGTGAAGACCCCGCCCGGGCCGTACGGCGCCTTGTCCTGCTTCTTCTTCTCAAACGGGCCGACACACGTGTCCACAAACGACTGGAACCGCTTCTTGATGTCACACGTGTCCTTCTTCATCCGCAGCTGCCGGATCCGCGGCGCACCCACACGCCGCAAGTTCTGGAGGATCGTTCCAAACTCATTCGTCGTAGTCTTCGGTGACGTGTTGGGCGCCGCCCCATTCGTTGTCTCGTACACACCAGGCAGCAGATAGTCGCGCATGTAGATGTACATCTGCTTGGCATCGCGCTGCTCATCCAGCGTCACCTCAACGTCGTCAATCGAGTACGCGCGGAGCTCAAACCGCTCCCGGAGCCGCTCGTTGAACTCGTACGTAAGCCACGACGCCCGCGTGTTGTTCACCACAACCACGAGCACAGCCAGAAAGAGAATGTAGAACGTGTACTTGGTGATGGCACGCTTGTTCTCCTTCAGCAGCTGCATCATCGTCTTGTTGCTCCTGTATCCACCCGAGTAGCCCGAGCCAGACTCGGCATCTGTCACCGCGCCGCCAACCCCCCAACCAACCCCCCCGACCACCACCCACCACCAACCACCCATCACCCGCATCATTCCCCATCAACGTCGCCATCATCATCAACATCAGTCAATCCCCCCAAGCTGTCCCGCCCACACCCGACCAAAACACTGCGCCCCTCCTACATCGGCCCGTTCAGAGCCATGGCACCCACAACCACCGACAACTGCCTGCCCAGGGCACGCGAGGCCTCCCAACCACCTATAGCCACCCATTCTAGCCAACACACGCACACTACGCACACTACGCACAAGTACTGCACCCGTAAAATACCCTCCCCCTACCTCCCTCCAGCCCCTACCCCACGCGGTGTGTGGCGGGGATCATTTCCGGTTTTCCCCACAACTTTCCCCGCTCGCGCCGCCTCCTCCCCCCCATGCCCCCCCCCCCCCGTGCCCCCGCCCCCCCCCCCCCTCAACCATGCGTAAATCCCTCCCACTGCACATACCAGCCGTCTCATAGTCATAGGTGTAAGCCGAACCCTCTGACGAAGATTCGACAGACGAACTGCGCTTCTTACGGGCCATGGCGCTGAGAAAGGTGATAGAAACGCTGCTGCCTTCCACTGCCACGAAAAGTCGTCGTGAAGGCGAAAGGGGTGGGGCGGAGGAGGGGGGGGGGCATGCATGCTCCGCGGATGACGCCACCGAATCATCTCAATCCGCAAATCAACTCTTACAGTTTCAATTCCACGCACGTCCAACACTCGCATCTCGAGCTGTAATTCACTGCCACTCTCTTTCATGCGCATGTCATGACGCCAATCACGCCGTCTGCTCTCTACGCACTCGCTACGGCGGGAATCGAGACCGTGGTGACCACGCCGGTGGCTGTCAACACATCCAACGTCCGTGCCGCCGTCTCTGAAACAGCAAGACTTACCACCACATCGCCAAGCTCGACACGCTCACCAACAGCAGCTGCCTTAAAGCCAGCTGCATCGCCCCACGTCGCCGTCGCGAGCATCGCAAGGTCGTGGAAGCTCAGCCGGCCGCCGTGACTCGCCACACAGACCACGTCATCCACCAGCGCCAGGGCCGCCACGTCTGCGGCGTACGGAAAGACGTACATCACCGCGAGGCTCTGCGCGTCGCGGATGTGCGACGCCACTGCCGCAGTCACCAGCAACTTCCCGTGCCCGTAGCTCACCGCCATGCTTCCCCCGAGCGAGCCGAGCAGGTGCTTCTCCTCGTGGCCCAGACCAGGCACCGCCTCGATCAGCGGCGCGCTTCTGCGGAGCTCCAGACTCCACGGATGACTCGCCACGCCGACAACGTGGATCCGCGGGCCGGCGGTAACCACCACCTCGCTGCCGCCGCATACAACCGGGACACTGTCGACTGGATCCAGGAGCTCGAGCGTTGCCTCCAGCTTGACGTTGGGCGAGTGCGCGCCGGCCAGCACCAGCGCATCGTCGTCCAGCTCGCCATGCGGCTCGATCCGCCACAGCGAGAGAAGCCCTGTTGCTGCCCCGTCGTTGCCGACCGCGTTCGACGCGCTCACTACCAGCGGCGTTCCATCCGCCCGCGCCACTCCGACCACACCCACCAGCTCGTGCCCGCGGCTCATCTGGACGTAGCCCACATCAGCAAGTGTGTTGCCGTCAAGCAGCATCAGCCAGTCGGCGCCTGACACTGACCCGCTTTCGCCGCCGATGGTCGCCACCGCCACCAGCGGCGTCGCCCCGCTCGAGACTGCTGCCACGCTCACAACTGTGAGGCCCAGCGGCCGCCGCAGCGCCACCACACCAGCCCCACACGCCCGCCCGAGCACAAGCGCGTGGCTGGCATCAAGCCACGCAAAGCCCTGCACCTCGTCGTCGGTCGAGAATGGGACGAGGCCAGCAGGCGCATCCACACTCGGATCCAAAGCCAGCACCGAGGAGTTGTGGACGTCGAGAATCGTCCACACAGACGAGTGCGCGAGAACAAACGGACTCGTGCCGCCGTGCCCAGCCCCGGCGCTGAGGCTCACTGCCGCTCGGCCGACACGCTCAGAGCCGCGCTCTTCCCACGCACCTCCAGCCTCGGGTGCATACCAAGCCACTCCGCCGTCCGACGAGCCGATGACTAAGAGCGGCGCGCCGGAGGGTGCGACGCTGGCGGGCGCAAAGACCGCCGAGCTCGCCCAGCCAGATGCTAGGCTCACGCTCCCGAGCGGCAGTGCCGCTCCACCGCTGGCTGTGGGCGGAATCGAGAACAGCGCCACATCGGCCGAGTGCCACGCCACCGCGGCCAACACTACATGCCCACCCGAGTTGGGCGAGAGCGCCAGTCGCGCCACTGGTGGCGCCTCGGCCTCGGCCTCGGCCACGCTGATCACTCTTGGGCCGCTGTCACCGAGCTGCACCACCGCAATCTCAGCTCCTGACGCCACACCCACAGCAGCCACGTCGGGCGCCACCGCCGCTGTCGCCACTGCCCGCTCCACCGTCGCTGCAGATGTTGCCACGCGGCCGAGCTCACAGAACCGCACTCGAGTGGGCGTCGCTTGGATGACCAGGCCACCGACACGGCCGAGCCCAATCGTCGCCTCGTCTGTGGCCACACAAACACTTCCGTCCTCCTCAAACGACGCCGTCTCGGGGACATACCGCAGCACAAGTGTGGCTCGCGCGGCAGCGTACGAGAACGCGAGGTGCGTCGCAACCGACGGCTCGGGCCCAAGGCTCACCGCAAACAGCTGCGAGACGCCTTGAAACCCGTCGTTGCTAGCGCTCGCCCCACTCGGCGTCAGTCGCTCGACCGGCAATGCCTTGGTCAGCTGCGCGATGCATCCGGTGGCGCCAACCCCAGCGCCCACAATCCACGACCGCCCGAACGAGCGGTTCTCCAGCGCCAAACTTGCCGACGCAAGCACAGGCGCAACCGGAAGCAGGTGCGCGGGCGCGAGAACAGCATCGACCTCGACAAGGACACGGCTAGGCCCAGCCTCCCACACCACACCCATCGGCGGCCCGTCTACAAAGCCGAGAACAACCAGGCCCGATGCAGTGTCATACGCGGCACTGGCCACCCGAGTTCCCATTATAGCTCCCGGCTCAGCCCCGCGGAGCAGCGGCGCCATGGCAGAGCGGGTCACGTCGTAGCTCGCTCGAGCGGAGCCAGTAAGGGTGCTCGTCGGTGCCGGCGCCACTTGCACACTAACAGCTGAAAGCGTGGCGGCGCCGTCGTTCCCACCAAACATGAGAGTCAGCGCCGAGAGGCGCCTCGCGTTGCGGCCCACAAGCCAGGCGTCGAGCCCAGGCGCCGGAGCGCCAAGATGCGCAACCGCCATGGGATCGAGCTGAACGCTTACGTCGCTCTCGCTCGATTCCGCCTCGCGAGTGGGGAGCTCGGCCTCGGCCACCACTCCGCCACCACCGTCGAGAATCACAGCGGCAGATGGGCTGACAACCAGCAAGCCGCCGGTTCTCACCCGAACCATGCGCGAGGCGAGATATGGGAGGCCCGAGACGACGAACGGACCCATACCGATGTCGACCATCCAGAGGCCGGCGTGTGTGCCAAGGACCAGCGAGAGTGCTGCCGCAAAGACGCCGCGGACCAGTGGTCCGCCCAGTGCACCGGGCACGTCGACGGCGTAAAGGACTGAGAGAGTGAACGCCGGGACGCCACTCAGCGTGGCATCGTCCGGCGCCTCAGCCAGCACCATGTCAAGCACAACCGGTAGCACAGGCGCCTCACTGTCAAAGGTGACCAGCTGCGAGAGTCGAAGCTCAAGGCCCGACTCGGGCTCAACGCCGAGCAGCGGCAATAGGTCCAGGCCGACGTTGCCCGGCGCGGCCGGCGCCGCGACGACCCCGGCCCAGCTACCTGCCTCGGGCAGCTTGAGCGTGTAAAAGGCAAAGCCGGTCTCGTACACCGAGAGCACAACGAGTACCACATGTGGGTCGATCGCCGCAGACGCTGCTGTAAACGGCGTACTTGGGTTGTGGGCATCAAACGGGGCTTGCGCGGTGCCGACGGCGACATCGATCGAAGCCGGCAAGACGACATGAGCGAGATCGGCGACGTCATCGACAGTATCCGGCGCCGCAACAAGCACATCTAGTGCCACCAGCGCGAGTTCATGCCCCCGGCGAGTCGCCAGCAGGATACCAACAGCGCGGGCACGCGGCTCGGCCGGGTGGGTCAGCAGATGCAGGCCGACGATGGAGGCCCGCGACTGAAGGCGGGAATGGAGCCAGGCGGCATCGAGCGAGCCATCTCCTGGCGCCACCGCCAGAACCGAGATGGCAAAAGGTGCCGCCGCCACCACCACCCGCGGAGCCGCTTCCAACTCGGCATCACTCCCCGCGCCTTCTTGCGGCCAAGACCCCGCCGCCACCGTCCACAGCCAAGGACCAAGCCCTGCGTCCAAGCGCTCCATTCCTGCTCGGAGCAGAGTAAAAGCAGCAAAGCCAACAAGGTCTATCCCCACCCTCCTTCCCTTGCGACAGCACAACGATGAAGCAGAGAGAGGTAGTGATGAAGACCAAGGCCAAGTCCCCATCCCCTGGCCACCACCACCACCACCACCACCACCACCACCACCACCCACTGACCAACCCCGCCTGCTGACCAACCCGGCCACCCGGCCACCCGGCCACCCGGCCACACCCGGCCACCCGCCCGCATCTTCGCCCCAAAAGCAACGTGACAAACGAATGTGACAAACGAACAAAGACACTATGCTTGCCAGGTTTGCCGGTCGCTCCCAGCCAGACAGACACCCGCCCTTACCCTCCGCCTTCCCCTCTCGCCCCCCCCCCCCCCCTTCTGCCTCAACACACTCACACACCTCTCACCCTCAGACCGCAGGCATGTTCAACACACGGCTGTTGTCGTCTGTGGTGCTGGTGCTGCTCGGAGTGGTGCTAGGCGTCAACGTGGCGGTGTTTATGATCTCCTCCTCCTCGGGCTACTGTGCTCACGACCCGTCGGAGACCTTTACCGCCTCCTCGCGGAGTCAGGGTGGAGGTGCTGGGATGAAGAGCCCTGCAGCGGCGGCAGCGAGGAAGCTAGAGTCGCCGTCGGGGGATCCGCTGGCGTCGGCCGTGCCGGTGACGCCAAAGGTGGCAGCAGAAATGGCGGCCAGAGCGCACGCCACGCCTTGCCGCTACGGCGACGACATGGTTACCTTTAAGGGCGAGCGCAACGAGCCGCTCTACCACCAGTACTGCACCGGCCTGGTGGTGCCGACAGAAGAGCATCGCAAAAAGTATGCTGCGCTCGAGGCCGTGCTGGAAAAGGTAGCCATCAACCGCGAGGTGCTGGTGGCGGTGTCGGACGTCAACCCGCTCCGCGGCGGCATGCTCAAGCTGTGGATCGACGGCGTGCTCCGTGCCGGTGTCAAGAACTACCTCATCGTCACTTTGGACGACGAGCTGACCAAGTACTGCAAGGAGAACAACATCAACCACTACTACCGCAAGACGGTGGCGTCCAAGGCCCAGGCCGACCTCGGCGGCAACCACCGAGTGTCGGGCATGAAGTTCCAGATTCTCAAGGACTTTCTGCTCCTTGGCTACCACGTCTTCCTCTCTGACGTTGACATCATTACTCTCCACGACCCGTTCCCCTACCTCTACCGTGACGTCGACGTCGAGTCGCTCTCCGACGGCTTTAACGACGCCACGGCCTACGGCTTTGACGACGTCTTTGACGACCCGGCTATGGGCTGGGCCCGCTTTGCCCACACCTACCGCCAGTTTGTCTACAACTCGGGCCTTTTCTTCATCCGCGCCACCTATACCTCGGTCGAGCTCGTCGACCGCGTCGCCGCTTGGCTCGAGGCCGAGAAGGCCTGGGACCAGGCCGTCTTCAACCTGGTCATCTTCAAGCCCTCGCACGGCCAGTACGTCGGTCTCAACCCCTCGACACGTGTCCTCGATCCCTACGTCTTCATGAACTCGAAGACCTTCTTCACCATCGTCCGCCACAACCCAACCCTCCTCAAGCGCGCCGAGAAGACCCTCTCCATGGCCCACGTCAACTACCACCCGGACAAGTTTGAGCGCCTTAAGGGCCTCTGGGCCTACTTTGTCGAGGGCAAGAAGGACGCCATCTCGCTCGAGCGCTTCCCCAACGGCTCCGAGACTCCCGAGCGCCTCGCGGAGATCCGCAAGGAGGAAGAGCGCAAGCGCAACGGTGGCCGCCGCCGCCTCCTTTCGCTCGCCGCCGCTGCCGTCGGCCACGACGTGGCTATCCCAGCCAACCAGACCGAGCCCATTCCCTTCTACAACTAACCCACACCTGTCCCCATCGCCCTGCAAGCAGCCAGAGGTCTGCTACCGCCTCACCTGTTATGAAACGACCCAGATTGAGGGAGGAGGAGAAGAAAAGTCCAAAAAAGCCTTGCAACCTGTAACCCACGCACAGGCAGCCACAGGCAGCCACAGCCCCCCCCCCCTCGCTACACCCACTACACCTACAACCTCATCCACCTGACTCCCACCCTCCCCCTCCCCCTCCCACACCCACACCCACACCCACCTCCCACCACCTCCCACTTCCTCTCTCAGCAGCATGGGAAAGGGCCAGTCCAAGAACGCAAAGGCGTCTCCGTCAGAGAGCAAGCCCAAGGTTACCGCACCTGGTACGCCACACCTCCACACACACACATTTACCCCCTCCCCTCTCACTCACACACCACTCACGCACGACTCTCTCACGACTCCCTCACGACTCCCTCACTCCTTCTGTAGTGGCCAAGGATACCAAGCGCGCGCTGCGGAAGCTCAACCCAAAGGTGGCTGGTGATCTGGTGGCGGAGACGCGGCTGACCAAAGACGAGGTCTCTGCTCTGCACACCTACTTTCAGCAGCTGGAGAGCCTGGATGGAGTCGACTACTCGGACGGCGTGACACGGGAGACCTTTATCCAGCACTGTCTCAAGGTCGATCTCGGTCATGCTGATGCCGCTGATCGACTCTTCTCGCTCTTTGACGTCGATAACTCGGGCTCGATCGATTTTCGTGAGCTCTGCCTCTTCACCTCGCTCATGGGCCGCGGCTCGACAACCGAGAAGATCCGCTACGCCTTTGCCGCCTTTGATCTCAACTCGGATGGCGCTCTTGACACCGATGAAGTCCGCGGCATGCTGCAGGCCTCGCTCAAGCTCGCCGAGTCGCTTTGCATCGCCAACCGCGAAGAGAGCGAGATCCTCGCCGCAGACTCATCCGCGGCAGAGGCCATCACCAACGACCACGTCGAGGAAGTCTTCCGCGACGTCGACACCAACCAGAACGGAACCATCGAGCTCGACGAGTTCCTCAACGCTGGCACTTCGAACAAGTACATCAAGCGCGTTCTTGACTTTTTCTACATGATCTCGCACCCGGCCTACGTCGACGCCCAACGGAAGAAGAAGGCTGCGCGCGCTGCCGCCAAGGCCCAGGCTGCGACAGTTGAACCTGCCGCCCCTGCCGCCGTCGCTGCCTCTTCTTCGGCTGATCCCCCTGCTAACGCCGCAAGCCCGGCCGACAGCGACTCGGATCTGGACTCCTCCGACTGCTCCGACTGGTCGTCCTTCTACTCGTCATCATACGAGTGATGGTCGCCACGGCATGTCGAGCGCCCCGCCTCACAGAAGCGACCATCTTGAACATAGTGTCGCTCATCCGACCATCAGACAAACGCACATTTGATACTCTGCTGTGTGGCAGGTCGGTCACATGCATCACCTCCAGAGAGGAGAGAGATGGAGAGAGATAGGGCGATACGGCAGACGGTGGCATGGTCACGCCACAGGACTCCACTCGATAGCATGGCCTCACAGGCACATACAGCAACCCAGACCAGAGCCACACAAGCATCGAGTCTGCCCCGCCAAGCACCGGTTCGCTCTGGCATACACGGACTCAATCTCCGACAGAGAAGCGGCCGTCGCGAGCCGCACGCCAGGAGCCGGCATGCCTATCATGCTCCCTTGTAGGCGTACATGTACGAGCGCAGCTCGGAGACGTCGTTCTCGAGCTGCTCGCAGCCGCGCTTGACATACCAAGTGATGGCGCACATGGCAGCGTTGGTGCCGGGTAGCCAGATGATGTGTGTGGGATATGTGACAAAGGCCGAGAACTTATAGCTCCAATACAAGGCCGGGAGCGCGGCAAAGAGGAGCGAGATGGCGAGCCAAGCATCGCCCATGCGTGTGATGTAGAGAGCCGAGGCAAAGAGACCCACTGCTGCCACCAGATGCATGGACACGATGTGGGTGGAGGAGACTGCCGATGAGAGGAAGGCATGTGTCTCTGCCATGTACGGATACAGCACTTGATGAACCGCCAGATAGACAAAGACCGCCGCCAGGGCCGCACAGAGGGTAGCCAGGGCGTTGCGATACACCCCATGGATCCGCTCGTTCTCGGCACGCAGCGTGTCGACAAGCAGTTCTTGCTCTGCTCTCCCAACATGGTAAACACCTCTTGCTGTGTATAAGTCCAAACCCTGCCTCTCCCTCTCCCTCTCCTCCCTGCTTTCCCATCCCGGTAGCCTCGCCCCCACCATGACGTGGCGACTGCGACACGCCGCCACCACCGACCGTGCCCCCCCCCCCTCCCCACCCAAACACACACACACATACACACATAGAGCAACATACGTGTTTCGTCCAGATATCTAGAGTCTTCGAGCATGGTGTCAATGTCGGCCATGGTCGGCCGCGATCGCAGGGTGGTCACCGACGACATGGCGAAGCGTCAGGTGGTTGTCCTTCTCTGGCCATTGTCTTGTCAAGCCAGCCACGTGGCTTGCTGCCGGCCAAAATGGCGTGTGCGGAAGAGATTGATTGACCGTAGGCAACGTGGCAGACATGGTGGTCACCAATGGAACCCTGCAGCCCACACCTCACACGACAGACACTGCTTCGATCCCAGCTTCGGCAAGGACGCCACGCTCACTATTTATATTCACACAAATGGAGACACGGACAGGAACGCAGACGGTGCCAACCAAGCACAGATGAAGAACGAGGCTAATGGTCAAGGATGCGGAGCGAGCCCGTCACAATCTTGTTCTCAAAGACGGCACCGGACGGCACGTCAATGTGCTCGCCGTGCGAGGCGACAATGATGACGGTGCCGCGGAGGGTGATGTCGGAGCCGAGGATGACGTCACCGGAAATCGTGAGGTGGTCGAGCTCGAGCAGGTCAGGCGTGGAGAGGATGCGGCTCTGGTAGCCAGCCATCTTGGAGAACTCTGCGCCGAGCTTGATGACGGGCGGCCCGCCGATGCGAAGCGGCGAGAGAATGAGCGAGCCAGAGACGAGGTCATAGAGGTTGGACTGAACCAGCAGAAGGTCTGAAGTCTTCTTGACCGGGAGGAAGCGCGAGCGCGGAACGTTGACGCCGATGGCACCGCGGAAGTACTCCATGGCTGCGCCGCATGCCTGCTCCAGCTGAATGACCGACGAGCCGTCGCTGAGCGACTTGTTGTTGACAATGATGTCCATGTTGAGCGCATTGTCGTTGACCAGGCGCTTGATGGCCGGCAGCGAGCACCAGAGCGAGTTGGTGTTGAAGATCTTGAACTTTTTGATTGACTTGAACTCCTCGACCTTGTCAGACGGAACCTGGGCAATCTCCAGCAGCTTGGAGCGGCCCTCGTAGGTGATAATGGTGCCGCCCTTGACGTCGGCCTTGGTCTTGTCGGTCACCTCCATGATAAACTCGATGTCGCCGTCGGACGAGACCATCTTGTCCAGGATGGGAAGCGAGACGGTGGCGCCGAGGTTGTCGACGTTGGAGATGAACACAATCTCTTTGCCCATGCTGCGGAGGGCGTCAAGGATGCCTGACCGCTCCAGCGAGGCGTAAACATCGCCGTGCCCGGGCGGGTACCAGTGGGTGCGGTCCGGATCGTCGGCGGTCTGCGGGACCGGCGTGAGCGACTCCTTGAAGATCCGCGGCATGCGCGACTGATTGAACGTCAAAATGTTGACGCCCTCGATACCTTCGTACTTGCGCACAATCCGGAGCGTGTCCTCGTGGGTGTTGAACGAGTTCATCAGAACGAGCGGCACAGAGACCCCGTGCGTCGTGTTGAGGTGCTGGATCTGCCGAACCGTCAGATCGAGGAACGTCTGCCCGGCCCGGACCTCGATCGCAGACTTGGGGCCCACGCAGCCCATGGTGGTCCCGAGTCCGCCGTTGAGCTTGAGCACCGCAAGCTTTGAGAGCAATTCCTTGGGCGGGAGCCGCGCCTCGGCCGCCAGCTCTTCAAACGGGATGACCAGGTCGTCGGCAGGCGGCTGGATCTTATCCCACTTGATCGTCGACCCAGCTTCGTTGAGGTACCGCGAGAAGAGCTTGTGGTACGTCTTGAACTCCTGCTGCATCATAAACTGGTCCTCTGCGTCCTGCGCCGTTGCCAGTAGCTCGTCGAGCTCGGCGCGCATCCGCACGTCCGCCTGATTGTGGAGCTGTCACCGCGTACCCTCTCTCGCGTGAGTGCCCTCATCCTCCTCCCCTTCCCCAGCTCAGTTCAGCCCGCATGACGACATGAGCCGACATGAGCCGACATGAGCCGACTTGAGCCGACTTGAGCCAACATGAGCTGCTCCGAGCGCCACCATGGAAGCCGCCACCACACGGCCACCCGCATCCCCCCACACACACACAAACGCACACACAGACGCACAGACACGCGCAATCACACGAACAAGGGTAGCTACAACAAAGTCAACGAGATCCTCCCATCTCCAACCCCATCACTCATCCCTTTCACCCCTCTCTCTCTCTCTCTCCTCTCACCCTCCCACCCACTTCCCATGCCTCACCCTCGCCCAGCCACGTCACCCTCTCCCTCCTCAGCCACCGGAGCCAACCGCCTCGGCAGTAGAGTCTGACAACAGACGTACGTCGTTTTGGAAGTTGGCTTCTGAAGAGAGTCGACCAAGAGAAGAAGCTGCCATGGTTGTACTGCAGTGAGAGAGAGGGGTTGCCGGCTTAGGGGGGGAGAGGGGGAGGAGGGAAAAGGTGGTGAGTTCAACGGAGGTGAGAGGCTTGTTTGGATGCAGTTGAAACGAAGAAAAACATGTCTTCCGTGACTGGCCCGGATCATACATAGCCATGGTAAGGGGAGTAGCAGAGTCCTCTTGAACCGCCATCATTTAGTGCAATACCTTCGAAATCAATAGTGAGTGTGGTCGATGGGAACGAGGGACGGAGAGAGAGGGACGGCGAGATGCACGACAGTGGCATCAAAGTAGAGGGCGAGGAGCGAGGGAACGTGTTGGATGACATGCAAAGTGCCTGCCCAGTGCAAAGCGCGAGAGATCTTGAAGACTTCCAGCTCGGGGCGTGACTGCAGGAGCAAGAGAATGGCTTCGTCGGTCATGAGTGTCCGCCGCACGTCGAGGTATCGGATGGAGACAAGATGCGGAACAAGGGCGAGCCAGAATTGCGGCGGGACCAGCACGTTGCGTGCGACTGTGAGCGAGATCAGCCGCGAGACTGAAGGCGAGTCAATGAGCGCAGAAATGGCAGAGGCGTCAAATGGGACACCATCCAAGTCGAGGACCCGCAGCGCAGTCACCGACCCCAGGAGCGCGCAGAGCGCCTGGCTGGTGGCCGGCATGAGTTGACCGCGCTGGGCCAGAGGCTCGGAGAGCCGGTGGGAGAGATTGAGAACTTTGAGCGATGCCACGTGTGGCGCCACCGCCAGCTGCGTGAGCGTCTCGACACCAAAAAACACGTTTGCGAGCGAAAGCTCTTCGAGGCCGGATGTGAGTGAGCCCAGGAGGCTGGCCACCGCCGGGTCGGAGAGGTGCGGGCACGACGCAAGCGAGAGCTTTCTCAGAGCCGAAAGCTTTGCCGAGGCCAGAAGCTCCACGCTGGCATCGGTCATCGACCACGCGCACCGCGACAGATCGAGCGAGGTAAGCGACGCCGCCAGCCGAGACGTTGCCGGCGTCGGCACGAACGCCAGCTGCATCAGCGCCCTGCAGTTTGCGCCGCGCGCTACCCACCAGGGCCACCACTCGCTCAGCACCTGGCCCGCCACCAACGCGTCCAAGTCCTTGAGCATCTGGCAGGCAGGCGAAGAGTCGCCCGGATTGGTGCACGCTCCGCGCAGAGTCGCCGGTGCATGTGCGTGGACAAGCCGGCCGACTGCGCCGGCGGCAAGCTCCTCAAGTGACCGCACGTCACCGGCGGCGCGCCGAGCAGCGGCTGCTGCAGGCGGTGGCAGCGCAGGCGCGACGACTGATTGCAAGAGCAGCCGCGGATCGGTGGTAAACTCCGCCGCCGCCGCATGAGAAGCCCGGACAGCAGCTGTCCACTCGGCCGGCGGCGCAGGTGGAGGTGGAGCAGCTGCAAACGACGATGATGACGCCGCCACCGACACAGTCTGCTTTGACTCTTGCCATGCCATCCATCGCAGCTCTTCCAGGCTCTGGCCCGACTCGCCGATGGTCTCGAGCGCGACAACATGCTCGAGACGGACCGGCGGTGAGGTGGCGCCGGTGTACCGCAGCGTGCTCAGCTCGGTCATTCGCCGGCTGCCGGCCGCCACAACGCCCGACCGATGCAGCGACGAGGGGGCGAGCGGGCCAAACGAAAACGAGAATCGCGGCGGGGCGGCTGACGCCGGCGTCGCATCAGCCGCCAGCGCCACGCTCGATGACGACGACGCAGCGTCGTATGTATCATCATCGCACGACGTCTCGCCATCCGTGGTAGCCGCCACAAACGGGTCAAAGTCGAGACCGGGACTTGCAGCCGCAGCACGGCCATGCGATCTTCTCCGAGGCGAGCCGAGCCGCAACGCTGCCGTTCGACGACGGGCACAACCAATCACTTTCGCAGCCGACGCATCGCTTGCAACGTGCTTGGCAGCACGAGCCGACCCGAGCTCACCAGAACTCGACACGGACGTGAGAAGAGGGGTACGTGATGCCAGACGCGGAGACAAGGTACTAGATCGACCGTGGCCGTCTCTAGTGTCCGAGTCGGAGACATGGGCCGTAGAACGGGCCGTCTCGTCGTGAGGGTACCGCGAGGGACGAGGCATGGCGCCCAATTTAGCAGCCACGTGTGAGGGCAGGTCGCGCTCAAGAGCGAGCAAGCCAAGCGCTAGCGACCAAGTACGAGGCGAGTGCTGCAGAGGGTGCACAACCTACACCAAGTGATGGGTAGCGGGTTGAGTGGTTACCGACTCGTTCCACAGCGGCCCGGGCTTGGTCTGAGCCATCGGCGAAGGTTTGGCCTCTGCACTAATTGCAGCCAATCACGGCAGGGACAGGAAGTCTCCGCTTGCCGCGGAAAACCGAAGCAATATCTCCAACAACCCCATACACAACGCACCGGCCTGCGGCACCTCTACTCTACGACAGCACCACAGGGTGCTATGGACTCTTGATCACACCGATGTTCAGACTAGCAGACTGGAAACAAGCACTACTACCGTAGCACCGGTCATGAAGGTGGGCACGGTGACATACAGCTCGGTTGGAAGGGGAATGGATCTGGTCGGGGCGAGGGGGTTCAAGAGTGGGTGTCGGGCCTTGGCAAGCTGTCGAGCAAATAGGACGCAATGGCAAAAAAGTCCCGCATCACTCCGCGACAGCCACAGTTGGGAAAGTGTGGCAGGTCGGCGATGCGCGACAAGAAGGGCCACGTGCGACGATGCGGCGATGTTGGGAGGGTGGCAGCGAGTGCACGGCTGTGTCCACGGCACGCTGGAGGAGGCCGGAGAAGGAAGCGGAGTAAGAGGAACGCATTTACTTGCGCTTGTTCTTGCCGGAGGACTTCTTGGTCTTGCCGCCGATCACCTTCTTGCGGAGGTGGGCGGGGAGGAAGTCGACATCGTCCTCAGTGAGGCCGGCCGGCGCGGTGCCAGCCTCGACCTTGACGGCAGCGCGCTTGCTCGACTTGTTGGGCGACGACGACGATGACGAAAAGTACAGGTAGGCTGCGGTGGCCAGAACCAGGAAGCCTGCGACGTAGCGGAAGGCCGTCGAGGCGTCGAGCAGCGGTGCGGCGTCGACGATGGCAATGGTCGAGTTGTAGGCGGCCGAGAGCCACAGGTTCTCCTCAGCGTCCGAGTAGTAGACGAGGACCATGAGGCCGAACGGGCGCGGGTCAAAGTTCTCGTTGGGCGTGAAGCGGTAGACAAACGAGCCCTCCTCGTTGGGGTGAACAAAGGTGGCGTAACGCCAGGCGGTGTAGTTCTCGACAAAGTAGCCAAAGTCGTTGGGCATGACCAGCGAGGCCGTGATGTACGTCACATTGATCTCGGTGTTGGCACCGTTAGAGACACCGACGACAACGTCGACGGTCTCACCAGGCGGGAACTCCTTGTCCATGTGGTTCTCAAACAGGATCGAGGTGGTCACATCCGGGTGCGCGTACGACTGGACAGCCGCCGCCTCCTCCTCGCCACCGAGCTCGAGGCCAGCCCCGCCGTCCTCACCGTAGAGGTCAAAGTCATCCTCCTCGTAGCCCTCCGCGTCCTGGGCGAAGGCCACCGCTACTCCCCGCATCCGTTCCACTCTCTCCGTGAGCTCATGCCGTTGCCTATGCCATGGTCAACTCCCGCCAGCTACGGCTGCCACCCACAAAAACGAAAAACAAAGAGCTGGCGACCTCTGACCGTCTTTGCCAAGGGGGGGGGGGGGGGGCAACCGAGCTACCCTTCCGCAACACTTGCTCACCAGGTACAAACTCTCTACACACGTGCTGGCTGTCACCCGCTTGCCAACAGCGCACTCTCCCTTGCTCTCGTTGACGTACGCAGCATCGTCGCCGCCACAAGGGCAAGGGCCATCAGCACAACGATAAACGACTTCATACGATCGATCCGCGCGAGTCGAGTGGCTACCACCGCCTCCCGCGCGTCGCCCGGTTGCCGGCTGCTGATTGCCGGCTGCCGGCTGGAGACGACCAACCGCGCGCGGAGCAGACAGCTGTGTCGCGTACATTTGGTGAATGGTGACTGGTCTTGTCAGCCAACTTGTCTGCGTACCATCTCGATGGACACCACTCTCCGGTTAGATGTTGTGGCCATGTTGATATAAAGGCCATGCACTGGCTCGGCACACGAGCAAGTACGAGAGCGGACACGGCTACATCTCTGGCCGCAGCAGAGCAACACCAAGAGAAGGCTGTCGGCGACCGGATGTGTTTGCGATGGGGGGGTTGCTACAAGTCGTCGTCATCTAACAGCCCAGACGTCGAAATGTCCAGATCTTCGATGGAGCCGCTGCCGCCGCTGACGTTGTCCTTGAACGGCGAGGTGCACATGGGGCAGAGGCCCGACTCGAGGATGTGCAGCTCGTAGTCGGCCTCGTGGTAAACGTGGTTGCACGCCGCGCAGGCGTAGACCGGAAAGGCAGGCGTGATGTTGAGGTAGAACTGCGCCCGCATGGCCGGGCACGCCCACTCCCGAACAAGAACCTGCGAGGCGTCGAGCGCCGCAAGGCCAGCACGCGAGATGACAAACGGAACGTACGTGTCTGACGATGTCACCGCCATCAACTGGTCGCCAAACAGCTCTTGCACCAGGCCCCGCGACGAGCCGTCCTCCGGCTCAGCGCCCGAGGCCAGCGACAGCGTCTGCGCCCCGCCGTCGCCGCGAGCCGACTCGCGCCACCGCCGTGACGACCCACTACCGCCGCTACTGTTACCAACACTGTTCCCGGGCAGGGTGAATGTCGGCACAGCCGGCGCGTCAGCTTCCAGCTGCGCAGCCGCGAGCTTGCGCGCCAACGGCGTCTTGGCAAGCGAATCTGTGCGGATGAGATCCTTGGCGGCGTCGGCGGAAATCGAGTCCGGGAGGACAAACTCGACAAGCGGGAGCGTGTCGAACGAGTAGAACGAGACCTGGAACTCGTGGTGGCACGTGGCACACGCCCCGTTGCGCGGGACAAGCGCATTGAGCGCCCCACAGCGCGCACACCGCGGGTGCAGGTCGCGCAGCGTCGGCTCATCATTGAGCTTGCTCCGCGTCGCAATTGCCATCGCGTCGAGCTCGTACAGCCACTTGGACGGGACAACCAGCGCCGTCAGCTTGTCGAGCGTCGACCGCGCCAGGTTGTACGCCCCGCAGTCGAGCCCAAGCCGCGCGAGCGCAATAAGCGTGTAGACTTTGGAGACTCCGCGCGGCGCGACCCGCTCGATTCGAGTGAGCAGGTAGCGGGTGATGTTGAAGACTGCGTCCTGCGAGCCGAGGTGCGGGTTGAATGGCTCGTCAATGTACGCCGACACAAACTGGAACGCGTAGTAGATCTCGGCCTTGTAGTAGTAAACGGAAAACTTCTTGAGCTTCTTCTTGTCGCTTGACGACAGGCTCGAGACCTCGGACTTGACCTCGGAAAGGTACTGCATGCCGAGCCACCAGTAGTAGTGCGCAGCGGGGCCGAACCGGCGCTCAGAAACCGCATTGGTGATGAGCGCCTCAAGAAGCTTGATCGACTTTTCACGCGAGCCCGACTTGCCCAGCGCCTTGATGGCCGCCTCAAACTCGTCGCGCTCCAACAGCCACTCGGCATACGGCACGTACACATCCTGCGCGTACGCCGGCACGTCGGCAACAACCGCAAACGCCTCTTTCCAGTGCGCGAGCTTGACATGCAGCTCGACGAGCGACTTGACGTCCCCAAGCTTCTCGTACGCCTCCAGCGCCGCCTCGTACTGCTCGTGGGCGCGCAAGAGCTTGGCTGCCTCGCGCAATGGGCCCTTTTCCTGCGCCGAGAGTCCGCCCACTACCTGTGCCAGCATGTCCAGCTTGTCGCCAGTTGAGCCGCCCGCAGACTCGGCAAGCGCCTCGGCAATGGTCGACACCACCTTATCGTGCTGGCCCGACGAGTGGTACAGCTCGACCAGCGCCCGCCAGTCGCCCGAGCCGACCACCGATGCCTCGCGCTTCTTCATCAGCTGCTCCATGGGAATGCCGTATTTGGCCGCCACCTGCTCAGCCTCGTCGAGCTCGCCGAGGTCGACGTACATGTCCAACGCAAGCTGTGGCTTGTTGGCCCGCTGGTACAGCTTGCCCGCCTGCGCAATCTTGCCCTGAAACGCCAGGATGTGAGCCATCAGCACCGAGTCGTCGGCACCTTGAATCGCCGCCTGCCGCTCGATCGAGTCTACTAGCTCAATGTACCGCAGCTCGCGGATGCGGGTAAAGGCCTTGCGTGCAATGCCGAGCTCGAGATTGATGAGCGCGTCATGCGCGAGCCGCGACCAGTCAGCCTCGGTTACGCCCAGGCACGCCACGGCGTACGCGTTGCCAAAGTCCTTGACGCTCAGATACTGGTGCAGCGGGCCCGACTGCGGGACCTCGATCGGCTTCATGGCCAGTGCGTCGAGGCAGAACAGCCGCGAGCCCATAAAGCCGACCACAAACCCATTCTGCTTCCGCGGAATGGCCGGAAACTTGCCGGCCTTGACAAAAATGGTCTCGCTCCGCGTCGAGTACGCGAGCATGTCTTCGTGGTGGGCGTTAAAGGCGACCGAGTTGACGTCGGCCTCGCTAAACTCGAGCTCGCCCGATGTCACGCTGTACACCATGAGGTTGTGGTGCTCATCCACAACCGCTAGTCGCATCCGTGACTGTGAAAGGTCCAGGCACCGGATCGACGCGCCCTGGTCGATGAGCTTGACCGGGAATGGCGAGTTGACAAAAACCTTGACCACCTCGCCCGACCGCATGCCCACAAGCAGACCCTCGCCGCCGACCGGCCCGCCCAACACCTTGACATACCGCACCAGGGATGCCAGGTTCCACTCGCGGAGCCGACTCCCGTCAAAGCCAAACATGACCAGCGACCGCTCGTGGCAGAGCACCACGTGCTCGGCTGTCACCACAAGCAACGAACACTCAGTCTTGCCCACATCGAGCCGCGCCAGCTCGCGGAACTTGATTCCGTCGCCGTCAGACTCGGAGCCGCTGTCAGCGTCCGACGCCTCCATGTCGCCAGCCTTGAGCGCCGACGGCACAGTGCCCGGCAAGTGGACGCCATCCTCGGTCCCGTACAATTCGTACACTACAACGCTCGACGGCGTCTGGACCGCAAGCCGCGAGGTGTAGACCGCGAGTTTGAGCACATGGTCGCGGACAGGCACCAGCGTCTTGTCTTCGGTAATGAGATCCTGAACCGTCACCGACGTCATCGCCTTGCGCGCCGCGTACGTCTGCTGATGCAGGCCGTGGACCGTTGAGTAAGTCACATCGTGGAGCGAGATCGAGCCGTCGGCTGTTCCGATGGCAACCGCCGAGGTCTCGGCCCGATGCGCCGCCGCCCACACCCACCCGTCACGGCCCACAACCTCACCGAGCGCCACCCCCTCTCGCGAATACAGCGAGAGCGCAGAGTTGGAACCGCCAATGAGCATATACTCGTCGTCACCGTTCCAAAACGCCAGCGACGTCGGGTCAAAGCCGAGCTCGACCTCGCGCCCAAGTTGGCGCCCGGTCACCGAGTAGAACGAGAGCTTCTGCGACCAGTCGCCGACCGCCAGCACCGGCGAGCCCACCAGCGACGGCCGCCACGCAAGGCACCACACCGGATCGGTTCCGCGCGAGACGCTGACCACCTCCTCGCCGTCCTTGTTGCGGATGGAGAGCGTGCCGTCCCACATGCCGAGCGCAAGGTTCTGCCCATCGGGCGTCCACGCGCACGAAACCACCCGCGATGAGACCTTGGTCTTGTCCACCTCGTTGCGCTCCGGCGACCAAAGGCCAAAGTCCGAGCCTGTGCACGATGCCAGCTGCTGTGAGACCGGGTTGTACGCCATGCAGTAGACCGGCTCGTGGTGCTTGTACCGCAGAATGCCCTGCAGCTCCGAGGTCCAGATGATAACATGCTTGTCAGCCGAGCCTGAAGCAAACCGCGTCCCATCACGCGAGTAGGCGACACAGTACACCGGGGCCTTGTGGCCCTTGAGGCCCTTGACCAGCTCGCCTGTGTCCATGTCGTACACCAGCACCCGGTGGCCCACTGCCGCCACCAGGTGCGGACCCGTCGGCTGGAACGCCACTCCGTAGATAGGCTGGCCCACTCCCTCCATGTTCCGCTACCCCCACTCCCCCCCCCCGGTCCACCACCACAGCCACACACACTCCATGAGTCCTCCCCCCTCCCTCCCCTCTCGACCCTCTCGACCCTCTCGACCCGCGCCTCTCGACCCTCTCGACCCGCGCCTCTCGACCCTCCCGTCTCACCTTCCCCCTCTTGCCCCCCTCCCCTCCCCGCCTCCCTCCCCCCTCCCCACCACCACCACCACCCACATACCACCTTGTTGTCCCACACCACTTGTGAGCTCATGGTTACTCCCTCCTTGAGCCCTTTGCTCCTGTCTTCAAGAGCAGAGCGGTGGTTAGCCAGCTCCCGCTGCCGCCCCTGTCAGGAGTCCGGCTGCTGGGACTGACTTGGCGCGGAAACAAGCTTTGCGCGAACAAACTGGTATGTCTGATCGTGGTGATGGCGACGATGTCAACGATGGCAACGATCGGGAACGGGAATGAAGAGGGAAAGAGGGTGAGAGGGGGGGGGGGGGGGTAATTAGCTTTTGCTAACCGCAAGCGCGCGTATGACTACCGTCACGGTCTTGGTTGAGATCAAGTCCAAGGGCCAGGCCAGATCCCAAGCAGCAATCAGACTGATGGCAGGCGGTTCAGCAGGACAAATAGCACCTTAGCAGTCCGGATAAGAGAGAGGGGGATACGGCGCGGCGAGATCAGTGATGAAAGTTTCGATGTGAGGAGAGTCACATGTGGCGGGTGTGACGCCGGGCCAAGTTGTACGAGGCCAGGGTCGGAGGCAGAGGCGAAGGCAATGGCAGAGGCAGAGAGGCCAAGCACTGCACTCCCAGACAAGGCCAACAAGCAGCAAGCGCGTTCAAGCACAACAGTAGTGGACTCTGTGGTGAGCAGCGATGCCGGCTCTGGACATTGTGGTGCTGGACGTCATCTATGGGGCTCTGGTGCTAGCTATCCTCGGCCAAGGCGCACGCATCATGTACTACAGGTACGGAGATAGTGTGGGCAAGGAGCACCACAGCACAGGCATACAACCACACACCCCTCACACTTACACACACTCGTGCACTCTCCCACACACCATCCACTCACCGTGCTGGTCCCCTCATTCATGTCTACAGACACCGCAAGCTCTCGTTCCAGGTCGGCTTCCTCCTCCTCGCCGGCTGCTGGGCCTCGCTCCGGTTTATCTTCTTCACCGCCTTCCTCGCACGCTCAGGCAACCTCTCGCAGGCATTCACCGCCATCATCTACTGGGGTCCGCCCAATTTTGAGTTTGCTACCGTCTCGCTCATTGTCCTCCACTACGCCATCAACATTACCCACGGCCTGCGGAGACAGAACGCACGCGCTATCGTCCGCAGATACAAGGTCATGTACACAGCCGCCAACACGGTGCTGTTTATCCTTGCCGTGGCATGGATCATCATCTCACTCACTTCAGAGTTCTCGACATCTCAACTCCTGACTGGCCGGCTCGTCTTTACCGCCGTCGCCATGTGCTCGCTTGTCCTGGTTCTTGCCGTCTTCTCGTGGAAGTTCTTCAAGCTCCTCCGCGATCCATCGGTTGTGCTCCCGTACCAGCAGCGGATGTCGGCGTCCAAGGCACACATGAGCCTCATGGTTGTTGTCCTGCTTGTGCTCTTTGTGACTCGCGTTGTCTACGACATTCTCTCGGCCTTGCACGTCGTCATCATCCAGTTCAACTCAGAGACGACCGACGGCGAGTCCCTGGTAGCCGTTGGTGCCTTTTTGGCGTGGGAAGTGGTGCCTATTGCCATTGTGCTCATGCTCTTCCGGCACATCCCCAAGCCTGCGCCGGCGCTCAAGCTCACCGAGCACATGCAGGCGATGGCCTCGCGGATCGGCCCGGCATCGACACCGCCCGCCACCTCGCCCATCTCGGTCTCGGTCAACCACGAGCGCCAGGCCCATCCGTCAGAGTCGTCGCCGCTGTTGGCAGGCTCGGCGGCGTCACCGTACAACAGCGCCAGCCACGGACCATCGACCCTGGCTGCTCCGCGTGCCAGCCCCTCGGCTGGCCTCTCGCCAGGCGTGGCGTCGTCTGGCGGCTCGTTCCTCGCAGTCTCGCCCGACCCAGTCCCCATCGTCCAGCCAAACTCGGCCATGTCGGCAGCTCTTGCCGGCCCGGTCAGCTCGCCACAGCTGCCTGCAAATAATGCAGCCGCTTCGCCCTCCGCTGTCGCCGCCTCGGCTGCTTCCTACACCATGGCCCGCTCCTCGGACCGAGCTCTGTTTGGTAACCCGATGCGCTACGACTCGGACGTCGAGGACCACGGTACTGCTGCTGTGGCCTCGAGCATTGGTTCGACCAACGCGCTTGGCACCTCGATTCCCGACGGCGGCACCAAGCCATCGTCGCTCTCGCTCTTCTACGGCCCAGGCTCGGTCACCCCGACACGTCCGTACATGATGCTGCACTCTTCAACCTCCCCGCTCTACCCGCCGTCACAGACTACCAACGCCCCGGCACTGTATCCACCGTCGCTGTATCCTAATCCAGCACCACCAGCATCGTCTGCCACAGCACAACAGCAGCAACAGCAGCAGCAACAACAGCAGCAGCAGCTGCAGCAGCAGCAATAGTCATGCCGCAAGGAGAGTCGATTTATCGGGACAAGTAGCGTGCTAGCGCTGGCTTCACTCCCACTTCTTCTTGATCTGGAACGCCCACTCCCACTCGAGGTGGACCTGCTTGTCGTCGTCCATAAACTTGGAGTACGCCTTGTACTTGCCGCGAGCAAGCATGCCCGACGGGGCGGTCTCAGTCGGGAACTCAAACTCGATGACCTCGGGCTTGGGCGCGTACGAGCCGATCATGTGGATCTGGTTGTCGACCTTGACACCCTTGCGCTTGACAGTGGTGATGAACTTGAGGCCCAGAACCGTGTCGTTCTGCACCCGGAACTTGACCCGGAGGTTATAGTCGCAGCCCTCCTTGATGATGATCGGCGATGACTTCATGGCCTCCACGCCCTCCTCGGTCGAAAAGTCGAACACGATCGGGTCACGGCCCTCGGACATGAATGCAAACTCGGAAATGACCACCACCCGCGGATCATCCGTCGCTATCACCGTCATCATCGTACCCATCACACGCACCCGTCACATAGACCCAAGCCCCGCCCGACCACGCACCGCCACCCCCACTCGTTCATAAGTACCCTGCAGCCCGCTCGTCCACATCCATCGCACACCCTCCTCCTCACCAATCCCAACCAGCCCAGCATGTCTAACATGCAACTTGTGATACAGCTTCCTTCCCCCCCCCCCCCTCCACCCTGCCCCCGCCCTTCCCCCTCCCCCCCCTCTCTACCAGAGGGAAGAATTTCTCCCGAACACAGGCCACCGCCACCAGCATGACATACCACCCTCGGCAACACCCTCGAGCAGCTGGGCCTTCCAGCTACACAACCCCATGCATAATGAGCAGCGTTAGTCCATGCCAATACCCACTGTCTCTTCTCCCCTCCCTCGCCCAGGCCGCCCCCCTCCTCCCCCCCTCCCCTCCCCCCAAAGCAGCGGGGCAAGTCGTGAGCGGGAGTCACTACCACCCCCCACCCCCTCCACGCACACCCGCAAAGGAAGATAA